GACATCTTTGCTATTCGTATTACAGACTTCCTTTGCTTTTGCTATTTTATTACTTCACTGCTACTTGTCCAAGAATGGACATCTTTTCCTTTATTTACTTTACGGTGCTTCTCTGGGGCTAGAGGGAGGGCTCAGCAGTTAGCCCAATTCTTTCCCAGTACCCACTTCTGAAGGCTTACCAAGGCTTGTGATTCCAGCTCCAGGAGCATCCAGCACCTCTGGCTTCTGCAAGCACGGGCACTCGTGTACACCCCCCCCCACACACACACACAGATACACACAGACACAGGCAGAGCAGGGGTAGGGGAAGAGAGAGGGGTGGTAGGAGGGAGGATAAATCTTAAAACGGTAGAGCAGCAGCATACAGTGGCATATGTCTACCATCTCGGCACCTCTGAGGCTGAGGCGAGGAGTATTGAGAATTGGAGGCCAATCTTGCGTTAGAGACTCCGTGTCAAAACAACAGTAATGTTTCTGGGACCTTAAGTCAAAGGGATGGTGTATTTTACCAGTTCTAGAACATGTCAGTCTCTTTTTTTTCTTTTTGAGAGCTTAAACTAAGAAAGATTTTATTTTTAAAACAAAACAAATTCATTAACACACATCCAAACACCACAGCAAGCACTCACTCCCTGGGTGTTTGTTTGTTGTTTGCTTGTTTTGAGACAGGGTTTCCCTGTGTAACAGTCCTGGCTATCATGGAACTCACCCTGTAGACCAGGCTGGCCTCGAACTCACAGAGATCCTCCTGCCTCTGCCAACCAAGTGCTGGGATTAAAAGTGTGTGTCACCACTGCCCGGCTCCTCAGGTTTTATAAAAGAGAAAACTGCATTCAGGTGTCACACAATCATTTTAGAAAGTCTACTGCTTGTGGTGACATGGGACATCTAAGAAGCCATTGTGTGTTTGCCGCTGTGTGGAAATGCATGAGCAATGAGAAACAATAGAAGGCGGTGTGGCCTCAGTCACACTTTCTGTGTGCTCTTGTTCTCCCTCCCCAGTTAATCAGCAGGTAAATGTACAAGGAATTTGATATCAAAGAACACTTCCAAAGGTCAAAAACAGATTCAAGGCCATGGCTAAAGTTACCATGGAAGTCTGGGGGTGCAGTGGGGGTGTTCCCAAAAGCCAGATTTCACACAATAGCAGACACTAACTGTAGTAGAAAAGAAACCCCGATTAATAGAGGCTGATTCTTACGAAGCACAGGAACCCTGACTCATTGACCTAGGCATCGCTGTCTTGATCAACTCCATCAGTTACTTCCTGAGGTCTCCTTCAGTGAAAGTCTCACTTAACTCCTTGGCCATTCTTCAGATTTTTAAATGACATTCTCCAAGTTTTGTCATCGCTGAGGAGCTTGAGAGCTTTCAGGATTTCTTCTTGGGAGTCTTTCTCTAACATTTTCTGAACCATCACCGTCAAAAAGTCACCAAAGTTTATTTTCCCTGTATCTTCCTTATCGATTTTGCCTATCATTTTCCTGATTTCTTCTTTCGTGGATTCAAAGCCTAGGGCCCTCCTTGCCACCTTTAGTTTCTTGATGTGTGTAGTTCCAGTTCCATCAGTATCAAAGAGCCTAAAAGTTTTCCAGATTTCCCATTTCTGTTCTTTATTAAATTCAGCCTTGCTGGGCGGTGGTGGCACACGCTTTTAATTCCAACACTTGGGAGGCAGAGGCAAGTAGATGTCTGTGAGTTGAAGGCCAGCCTGGTCTACAAAACAAAACAAAACAAAACAAAAAAAAGTTCAGGCTTATGGCTCATTATTTTTTGCTGACCATTGGGTGCCATGTTAAATCTCAGCACGTGGGAGGCAGAGGCAAGCAGATCTTTGTGAGTTCAAGGTCAGTCTGGTCTACATGGCTAGTTCCAGGACAGCCAGGGCTGTTACACAGAGAAATCCTGTCTTGAAAAACAGAATAAAACAAACAAAAAAAGAATGCCCTTCGGGGGACGTATGGAGAAACGGCTCAGTGATTAAGAGTACGACTGATCTTCCAGAGGACCCAGTTTACTTCCTCTCACCCACACGGTGGCTATAATCCAGGAGATTATAATCTGTCTATAATCCAGGAGAGTCTACTCAATTCTGACCTCCATGGGCACCAGGCATGTACATAGTGCCCAGATATACATACAGACAAGACATCCATACACATTAAATTAAAGAATGGACTCTGCCCGGAATGCAGGGATTATGCTGGGTTTATTGTGCCAGAATATCTCTCGGGAAAGCCCAGAGCTGGCTCCTTTATTCTGCTTATACATGTTTGTTCCATGACACGGGTAAATCCAACATCTGTCTTCCACAAGGTGGGGCAGAGCAAGTTCACCGCAGCAGGATGAGAACGGAGTACATAGCCAGTTGCCCTGCATTTGTTTCTGTGGTGGGACCTGCTGGCCAACTGGGTGGGACCAACACAGGCTCCTGAAGTTGAGGTCTCTCCCTTTTATGTGCAGGTGAAATATTGTTCCATCTAGTGCTCAACCATGCTGTCTTGCCCCTCATGACTCTGATATCAAGAACAAAGGGCAGAAGTATTTAGTGCCCTCCTCTGGGACTGGCAACCAGCATATAATATTCTAATTAATAATGACACACACTCCAATTTGGGCATGTTGACACACTCCTGTAATCCCAGCACTTGGGAGGTAGGGACAGGAGGATCAGGAGTTCAACATCATCCTTAGGTACACGGCATGTTAGAAGCCAGCCTGGGGAGCTGGAGAGATGCTCAGCAGTTAACAGCACGGGCGGTTCTTCCAGAGGTCCTGAGTTCAATCCCAGCAACCAGAGGGTGGCTCACAGCCATCTGTAATGAGATCTGGAGCCCCCTTCTGTCCTGCAGGCAGACATGTAGGCAGAACACTGTATATATATATTATAGTAAGTTAATAAATCTTAAAAAAAGAAGAAAAAGCAGCCAGCCTGGAATACAAGAGAACTTGTTTTTTGTTTTTGTTTTTTTTTAAAAGTAAATAAAAATCTAAAAGTAAACAACATGAATATATACATAAAGATCTCTCAATGCCTACATTCCCCATTTGCTTAAAACTTGTGTTTAAAAAAAATAATCTAAGTAATATGAATTTGAGTTGTAAACCTAACCAAGATCAGACAAGAATAACTTCTACCAATGCCACCGCTGCTTTGTTCAAGGACAAGGCCTATAGAGTGAGGTCCTATCTCACAAAAATCAACTCCACGTTCCACAGGCAAAGCAGCAACAACAAACTTATTTATGTTTACTACATTCATTTAATGTTAAATCAGTCATTTCTCTCCTCAGTGTAGTGTGCTCATCAAGCCAGAACGGAATGACCTTCCTCCAGAAGGAACTCTGTGGGAGGGCCTCCGACAGCAATTCTTTTCATCTTCAGTCTGCCACTAGGTCTTACTGATTTCAGGTTTGCAATTTTTTTTTTTTTTTGAGACAGGGTTTCTCTGTGGCTTTGGAGCCTGTCCTGGCACTAGCTCTGTAGACCAGGCTGGTCTTGAACTCCCAGAGATCCACCTGCCTCTGCCTCCCGAGTGCTGGGATTAAAGGCGTGCACTACCATCGCCCGGCTTGGTTTGCAATTTTTTAAGTCTCTTTCTTTTTCATTTTTATTTTTATTTTATTTTATTTTTGAGACAGGATTTCCCTGTGTAACAGTTCTGGCTGTCCTGGAACTTGCTTTTTAGACCAGGCTGGCCTTGAACTCACAGAGCTCCTCCTGCCTCTGCCTCCATCGTGCTGGGATTAAAGCATGCACCAGCACACCCGGCTTTTAAATCTCTTTCCTTATATCTATACACACATCCTGCTAGTTTGTTTCCTCTAAGCACGACAGATTTTTAACAGGCGTTGGAGGAGCTGAAGTCTGGCTGGGACATTTGCTAATTTGATAATCACGTTCAAAACAAAACCTCTTTTTTTTTTTTTTTTGAGGCAGCAAGCCCCAGGGTTAACAGACTCAAGCAGTCGATTCCTGCACTGAAGATCATTGTCACCAACCTGGATGCTCTGGCAGGTTGAGGGGACAGCTGAGCTGCAAGGGTGTCTAGGACAAGGGAAGATATGAAGGGTCTCTGTAACCACCACAGCCAGCTGAATAAAGACCTGCAGCTAGAGGCAAGAAGGCGGTTCGGTTCAACACTAAGTGGCTGGTATTGGTTCAAACCGTGAGTCTGACCCTGACCCTGAGTAGTTTATTTAGGCATATATTTTATGCACAGCACAATTTGGTTAAAAAAAATCCTAACGATAATGAACTCAATCTCGTGTGTACAATAAAGCTGAAGACTTGGGGCTGGAGAGATGGCTCAGTAGTTAAGAGCATTGCCTGCTCTTCCAGAGGTCCTGAGTTCAATTCCCGGCAACCACATGGTGGCTCACAACCATCTGTAAAGAGGTCTGGTGCCCTCTTCTGGCTGCAGACATGCACACGGACAGAATATGGTATACATAATAAATAAATATTAAAAAAAATAAAGCTGAAGACTTGAGTCTTTGCAAACTACATGACAAGCTCCTAAGGGTCTAGGGAAGGATTCGGTGTGGTCTCAGTCACACAGCTCAAAGGTCACCAGGCTACTAACCACGCCTGCTCACAGGTTATGCCTCCCTTCCTTTGAAGGAACAACGCCGTGTGTTGAACATTCCTCGTTCCCCTAGCATCTGTGAGCACAAGGACCTCCATGTCTCCCACCAGAGGGCAGGTCTGTCGGGCAGGGACCTTAGCAGGGAAAGCCACCCTCTGTCTTCACAGCAGTTCGGGAATTGTTTCGAAGCAGTTTGAACGGAGAAGAGGTTGCACGCGGAGGGGGCCACCAGGCTGGGCCCCACACCCACTTCCCAGCGCCAGCCTCACTGCAGCCAAAGTGAACCTGTGGGTGTGGCCTTGCCTCTCACCTCGTCCTAACCAATCAGATCCCGCCCCTCCAATGGTGTCCCCGCCCCTTCCTCCTCGTCACCCAATCCCCTCACTGTCCCGTGTCGGCCCCGCCCCGCCGCTCTACCGCTTCGGCTGCAGGCCTGAAGCAGGTTTGCTGTCCCGCAACTGCCATGGAGACGGTGCTGAAGCGGGAGCTGGGCTACAGCTCGGTCAAAGCTACGGGTCACTCGGGAGGCGGGTGCATTAGCCAGGGCCAGAGTTACGACACGGACAGAGGACGAGTGTTTGTGAAAGTGAACTCCAAGGCGGAGGTAGGACCACCGGCCCGGGGCTCAAATGGGGCCAGGTTTGGGTGCACGGTGTGTGTCTGAGATCCCGAGCCTCCCGGGGCTCTAGCTCTGGGTCTAGGTCCGTGGTGGGTAGCGTTAGAGTCCCAGTCTGCAGCCATAGGCTCTGTCTGGTCGCCGTCCACGCGTGACCACCATACTCTGGCCTCCGGCCTTTGCACAGTCCTCTGCCTTTGCACACTCCGGCCGCACTGGCTTTGCGCATGCTGTGGTGTTTTGAGATCGCAGTGTCCGCTTCTATGAGGAAAGCCTTTATGTTTGGCGAGTTTTGAGAAACGTCAGAGGACATGCGTTTTTATCTAGAACTTATTTCAACTCCCACGGATCAAAGATCTCTCACCCCAATACGCTCAGTTTGTGTGTGGACTTTTTCTGAAGTGCCCTATTGCTTCCGCAGGGCGAGCTCCGCTGCTCCAGTTGTGTTCCTGGTTGCCGCTGTCCCGTTTTCATTTTAAGCTGCTCGCTCCAGGGCTTTTGCAAGGGAGGTGGATGGCTTCTGTAGGACTTTTTGGATAAGACTAAAGGTGTTTATCTTGCCGAGCCCTGCACCTCACACACCCTCAAAGTGCTTTTTTATTCTTTCCTTAGAATTGGTGTCTATAACCAAGGCTGACCTCCAAACACAGTCCTCTTGTTTCAGATTCTTGCTGGGGTTACAGGTCTTAGCCACAAGCCTGGCTTGCATGTACGTTCATTTTTCTTTCAAGAAAGGAATTCTACCTTTCACATGTGTGTTAACCTTTGAAATTATTTTCTCAAGACTTGCCCGGTCTACAGACATCAGTTGAACTCTGTCAACGGTCCTTGAAGTTACTCTTGCACTAACTTATCCTCAGTGCCAGTGCTTGGTGTGACTGTGATGGCCTTCATATTCCACAAGCTGGGCTCAGACTCAGAGACTTGCTTTGCGGAGGTCCTGAGTTCAATTCCTATCTGAACTTGCATTCTCTTTCTCTGGAAGCATTTTATTTTATTTATTCTTTATGACACAGATCCACTCTATATGTAGCCCAGGCTAGCCTGGAACTTACTGTGGAATCCTCAGCCTCTCAAGTTAGGTATGATTACACATATCAGCCAGCATATTCTGCTAAGTTTTTTTTAGATTTATTTATTCACTTATTTATTCAGTTTTAAAGGTGATGTGGATGATTGTGTGTGTTGGGAGAGATGTGAGTGTGGTACCCATGGGAACCAAGGGCATCAGATCCTCCTGCAGCTGGAATTGCAGGTAGTTATGGCCTACCTGGTGTGGGAGCTGGGAACTGAATTCAGGCCCTCTACAGCCCCCTGCTGGGTTCTTTCAAAGTCTACTTTCAATTCTCCAGCCTTCCTCTCCCTTTGATGAATGATGCGGGTACACAGGCCATAAGGCAAACATCTGCTGATTGTGGATATAACTGTTGTGTTGGGAATCCAGCTCGTCCATGTTCTGCTTTCTGTGAGTCAAGACTACTGCTACTAAGGCTGCTCCTGTATTTGCTTTTTTATGCCTTGCTAGGATCTACCTGGTCTAAGTTTTTCCCCACTTGACTGTTCTTATGTGATTCTTGTGAACATACGTGATTGGTTTATCTCAATTTTAGTTCCAGATTTTGTTTTGTTTCCACAATGGTCCAACCGAGGCTTAATTTTCCTATAGGTCTGTTCATGAGTAGCTACTTTTGTAGCTTAGATTCTTCAGACCACAAAAGCAGTAAATGACATCAAAAGGAGCTCTGCTTCTTAATGGCTTCGCTGTCCTTTTTAAACCTCTCCTGATTTTTTTTTTTCAATGCTGCTTCTTAAAGTAGTCTCTGTCACCAGGATCTTTGTGGAAGTTTAGCTTCTCCTTCATAGTCTAAAGAGATTGCTGTGAAGGTTCTGCCTAGGACATAGCTCTTATCTTTCTCCTCAGAAACGTTGGCCCTGTTAGTGAGTAATAACATCTGTAGAGTGTTTAGAACGGGCTGTGTGTTAGCTGCTAACTCAATCATAACCCAAGTTTAAGAAATTCAGTATTCTCTCATTTTATAGGTGAGGAAACTGAAGCCAAGAAAGCTTAAGTAGCTTGCCCAAGATCACAGAGGTAGTAACTACGAGAATGAGTAGGAGAATTTCCACGGTAGCACTGTTCAGTTAGGGATGTTCACACTGTGAAATAGTATACATGGTGAAGGCATAAAACAAATACACCAGACCCCACTACCCATGTCCCTCTGTGTAAAACGCAGCACTCAGGAGGCTGAGGCAGGGGGATTGTGAGTTTGAGGCCAGCATGGACTACACAGCAAAACCCTGTCTCATAAAAACAACAACAACAACCCAACAACACAAAAAGAATGACCAAACGGGCAGAATAGCTCTTTGATGATAGAAGCCAGGGCAGAGAGAGCTGTCCTGGGGTGAGCATTGGCTGTTGAGTGAGAAGGAGTGGAATTTCTGTTGGTATCTGGATTATTGATCTTGTGATGGCGATGCTTCAAGATTGATTGATTGGCACATGTGGGAGGCAAAGCAGGCAGTTCTCTAAAGAGTTTGAGGCCAACCTGGTCCACATAGCCAGTTCCAGGGCAACCAAGGCCACACAGAAACCATCTCAAAAAAGCTAACAAACAGAAGGTGTTGGTTACTTTTAATCCCAGCACTCAGGAGGCAGAGGCAGATGAATTTCTGAGTCTGAGGCTAGCCTGGTCTACAGAGTGAGTTCCAGGACAGCCAGGACTATGTGGAGAAACTCTGTCTCAAAAAAACCAAAGCAAACAAACAAACAAACAAAATGCAGCCCCAAACTGAGAAGTAGAAGCTTTCTCATACCTGTGTGACTTCGGCACTTCTATTTTTCCCATGAGTTCCCAGAAAGCACTGTCCATTTCTTGAGTCCTCTCTGGCATAAATGTGGTTTGGAACTGTAATGCCTGAAGAAAGCGTGTCTAACTGACCTTTCTCTGCTGACCTCGGTTTCCTCTCCATTGTTTGACTGACAGGCTAAGAGAATGTTTGAAGGTGAGATGGCCAGTTTGACGGCCATCATGAAGACAGACACAGTGAAAGTCCCCAAGCCTATCAAGGTCCTGGATGCCCCAGGAGGCGGGAGTATGCTGGTGATGGAGCATTTGGACATGCGGTACCTGAGCAGGTCTGTCTCGACGCCATCCTTTCTGCTTAAAAGCAAAGGCTCTATTTTTCCCCGGTGTGGTTCTTTTATTTTGGGGGCATGATTTTGAAGTGTGGTGTAAAGAGCCCTAGACCACACAGATGATGACCCTACAGTCTGACTGGCATGTCCTCTCTGCCAACTGAAAGCCAGAGAGAGGGCTCTCTCAAAGTGAGATGATTACAGAAGACTCTGCTGCAAAGTCTAAGAAGACTAGGAAAGGCGGTCAAATAACGGGAATCTCCTATTTCAATTTTGTTTCTTTATTTTGAAACAGTCTTATACAGCCGAGGCTTGATCCTCCTGCCTCCTCCTTCCTAGAATTCTTGCTATTGTGCCTTCATACCTAGTTTTCCTCCTATTTCAGTAGAATGAACTTTTAAAAAAAAATTATTTATTTTATTGTATTGTGCATGGGTATTTTGCCTGCATGCACAGCACAGATATGTGTACCACATGCATGCCTGGTGTGATAGATTCCTGGAACCAGATCCGTCTGGACAGTTGTGAGCTGCCATCTTAATGCTGGGAATTGAACCCAGGTCCTCCAGAGGAACATCCAGTGCTCTTAACCACTCCAGTAGGATGAACTTTGTGCTCAACACTTGACCTGCTTTATGTGCCTTGAGCTCTTTCAGATGGATCTGCTGTCTGTGTGCCATCTGTTTAGTTCCTGCGTTTTGGTTTTAGTCATGCTGCCAAGCTTGGGTCCCAGCTTGCAGATCTGCACCTTGAGAACAAGAAGCTTGGAGAGGGGCTCCTGAAGGAGGCTGGCACCGTGGGTAAGGGACCCGCTCTGGAGAAGGGCCTTCAGCCCATGGGCTCAGGGATGGGGTGACGCTGTAGCCTGTGCTGATGCCAAAGGCAGGGTGGGCACCCTAAGGCTGCACATTTGCCGTGCAGTGAACGCCATGGATGTGATGGGCACAGTGTGTCTTAGACATCGCTGGACGTGAAGCTGCGTGATGTTATGGTCGCTTTACTTTCCAGAAGTGAGTCTAATCTAAGTTGTTTAGCTTTCAGTATAAAGTGGCTCCTTTAAACACATTGTTGTCTCTTCCGTGTACACCACCCTTGAGACTCAGAATGACGGCCCTAATGCCCCCCATCGTAGAACAATGCTATGGTGTTAGCATTGAGAGAATTTCCCAGGATTTTCAGGCTGACAGTTGGTAACTCACACGCTGACTCTGCTAGACAGAATAGCTGATAGTCAGAGAGCAAATGATCTGGTCTACTGTGTCATGTTCTTCTGGTGGGTCCTGCAGCCTGCCCATGCTGTGAGGATACACTGGTTGTACCGTCAGCCTGTCTCTGTCTCTGTGCTGTGAGGATACACTCAACTGGTCGTACCATCAGCCTGTCTCTGTGCTGTGAGGATACACTGGTTGTACCATCAGCCTGTCTCTGTGCTGTGAGGATACACTGGTCGTACCGTCAGCCTGTCTCTGTCTCTGTGCTGTGAGGATACACTGGTAATACCGTCAGCCTGCCTCTGTGCTGTGAGGATACACTGGTTGTACCGTCAGCCTGTCTCTGTGCTGTGAGGATACACTGGTAGTACTGTCAGCCTGTCTCTGTCTCTGTGCTGTGAGGATACACTGGTAGTACCGTCAGCCTGTCTCTGTCTCTGTGCTGTGAGGATACACTGGTAATACCGTCAGCCTGCCTCTGTGCTGTGAGGATCTACTAATAGGCCCGTTAATACTAATAGGCCCGTTAACTGGCTTTTCTGTTGCTCCCAGACTGCATGGAATTCATTATTGAGAGTTCCTTGAGTTGGGGAGATACATGAGTTTGATGCCATTTCAAAGTGTAATAGGTTTTTGTTTGTGTATTTTTTGAGACAGGGTTTCTCTGTGTATCTTTGGCTGTCCTGGTACTCACTCTGTAGACCAAGCTGGCCTCGAACTAACAGAGATCTGCCTGCCTCTGCCTCTCTAGTGCTAGGATTCAAGGTGTGTGCACCACCATGACCCAGCAAGTATAATTTTATCTGTCAAAAATGGAACTACATTGGTCCCTGAAAACCTCTTTTCCTGATGGATTGTGTGGTAGATATTTTTCCTCTCTAAACAAATGCATGTTTGATTTATTTTTGGCAATGTTTTGTATCCCTCCATCCCCATGCATTCTCTGGTACTTGGTTCTGCTTCTGGAATAGCTATTAAGTTTGCTAAAGCAGATGCTATTCTGAGTGATTTGAGGGTCTTGCTTATCTCTGGGTGCGGGCATGGGGAGGTAAGGGCATATTGACTGCAAAGGAACATCTCTGAGCTCCCAGGGTGGGCTGAGGGTCTTTTGGGACAAGGGGACAAACTAGTGACCTTTCTTTGTTTCTTTTTTATGTGAAAGGGAAAGGAAGTGGACAGGCAGAGCGGCCCTTTGTGGACCAGTTTGGATTTGATGTAGTGACATGCTGTGGGTACCTCCCCCAGGTGAGTGGCACGGAACTTACTTCCATTTCACAGTCAGACACAGTAGGGAAGTTGCCCTACTCCTTTCTGGGAGATTTTGTAAGTCTTTGCACCATTTTTTCCCTGATAATTTTTTTTAATATTTATTTATTTGTTATGTATACAATACTCTGTCTGTATGTATGTCTGCAGGCCAGAAGAGGGCACCAGACCTCATTACAGATGGTTGTGAGACACCATGTGGTTGCCAGGAATTGAACTCAGGACCTTTGGAAGAGCAGGCAATGCTCTTAACCACTGAGCCATCTCTCCAGCCCTCCCTGATAATTTTTAAGAAGTTGACATGAAGTAAAATCACATGTTAGATTAAGATAGAAAATGAGACAGAACAAAAAGTTAGAATGTTGGATTTCAAAGAAGGGTTAAAAATGAGAAAATCTGTAACTTTTGTTTTATTTTGATTATAATTATTTGTTTGTTTGTTTGTTTGTTTTGAGACAAGATCTCACTATGTAGCTTTGACTGGCCTGGAGCTCACTTTGTAGACCAGATGTTGGTTTCCTGGCCACCCAGACCTGAATAATCACACAGAATCTATATTAATTACAGCACTGTTTGGCTGATGGCTCAGGCATATTCCTTGCTAGCTTTTACATCTTAACCCATTTCTATTAATCTATGTGTGACCACGAGGCTCTGGCCTACTGGTAAGGTTCCGGCATCTTTTCCTTTGGCAGCCACATGGTGTCTCTTTGACTCAATCTACTCTATATCTCTGTTCAGATTTCCTGCCTGGCTTTATTCTGCCCTGCCATAGGCCAAAGCAGCTTCTTTATTAACCATTGTTAATAAAACATATTTACAGCATACAGAGGGGAATCCCACATCAGACATCTGCCTGTTTCTTCCTCCCAATTCTTGGGATTAACGGTGTTTACCACTATGCCCAACTTATTTTTAGAGATTTTATTTTATATATATATATATATATATATGTATATACATATATGTGTGTGTGTGTATGCTTACCTGCTAAGGCAGAAGAAGGAATTAGATCTTCTAGAGCTGTAGACACAAGTGGTTGTGAGTAGCCTGAAGTGGGTGCTTGTAACTTCAGCTTTTCTGTATCCCACCCAGTCATGAGTCCCTTTTAAAATAGTCACTCAGAAGCCGGGCGGTGGTGGCGCACGCCTTTAATCCCAGCACTTGGGAGGCAGAGGCAGGCGGATCTCTGGGAGTTTGAGGTCAGCCTGGTCTACAAGAGCTAGTTCCTGGACGGGCACCAAAGCTACAGAAAAACCCTGTCTTTAAAAACCAAAAAAAAAAAAAAAAAAAAAGTGTTAGCCAATAAGAAGCTAGAGCTAATAGGCCAAGCAGTGATTTATTTAATACAGTTCCAGTGTGGTTATTTTGGGAGTCTGGGCGGCCAGGAACAAACAAGCGGCCTCCTACTACACTAGATGTTTTATGGTGGGCACAGGGGCCATAGCTGGGTGGTAAGCACCCGTGCCTGGACGTTCTTCTTCTGAAAGAGGTTCCATATGACTTTTCTCATCTCTCCCAGGACAAGGTAAAATGTGGCCAGGTAGATGGTCAGAAACAAGCCCTGAGATCCAGAGGGTCAACTAGCTCAGGCCTTTGTTCCATAGTTGTTGTAGTTAAATTGTTTGAGTTGATCTCCAGGCCTGGAAGGCTGCAACTAGTCACCCGGCTCACCCTACTGACCATTCCCCGGGGACGCTGGCCCTGCAGTCTCAGCCTGTGTTGAGACTTCATGCTGCCCGGTCTTCCCTCAGCTCTCAGCCTCCTGTGGCTGCTACTCCTCTTCATGCTTCCTGCAGCCCATTCCACACTGGGAGTTCTGGGCACTCAAGTCTCCTTCAGTTCTGAAGTTTTCTGTAAAGTCTGTGTGCTGACTTTGTCAACTTGACACAAGCGAGAGTCCTCAGAGGAGGGAGCCTCAGTGGGGGCAACGCCTCCGAGATCCAGCTGCAAGGCATCTTCTCATTTAGTGATCCATGGGGGAGGGCCCAGCCCACGGTGGGTGGTGCTACCCCTGGGCTGGTGGTCCTGGGTTCTATAAGAAAGCAGGCTGAGCAAGCCATGGGAAGCAAGCCAGTAAACAGCTCCCCTCCATGGCCTCTGGGATCCTGCCCTGTTTGACTTCCTGTCCTGACTTCCTCCAGTGATGAACAGCAATGCTGAAGTGTAAGCCTAATAAACCCTTTCCTCCCCAGCTTGCTTTTTGGTCATGGTCTTCAGTTGCAGCAACAGAAACCCTGACTAAGACAGTCTGCTCTGCCCTATCCTCTCTCCTGAGCAGGTAAATGACTGGCAGAAAGACTGGGTCACATTCTATGCCAGGCAGCGCATTCAGCCCCAGATGGACATGGTGGAGAAGAGGTCTGGTGACCGGGAAGCTCTTGAGCTGTGGTCTGCTCTGCAGGTGAGCAGGGCCTTCTCTGTATACCCAGTGCCAACGGTGCCCACTGAGCACTGATGGGGGGACTCCAGGGCATGGGCAGCGCTGATTGTATTTCTTACAGCAGTGCCCGTCTCTCTCTAAGTCAGACATATCTGAGTAACGGCTTGTAGATCTGTGGAACAGCACTTAGGAAGACACCTACACCTCCATATTCATTGACCGCCTTGTCTAAGACTCCATCTTCCTCCTTGCAGTTGAAGATTCCTGACCTGTTTCGTGACCTGGAGATTGTGCCCTCCTTACTTCACGGAGACCTCTGGGGAGGGAACGTAGCAGAAGATTCCTCTGGGCCCATCATTTTTGATCCAGCTTCCTTCTATGGCCACTCAGAATATGAGCTGGCAATCGCTGGCATGTTCGGGGGCTTCAGCAGCTCCTTTTACTCTGCCTATCACAGCAAAATCCCCAAAGCCCTGGGATTTGACAAGCGCTTGCAGCTGTATCAGCTCTTTCACTACCTGAACCACTGGAATCATTTCGGATCTGGATACAGAGGATCCTCTCTCAACATAATGAGGAATCTCAGCAAATGAACTGGCCAGAGGGCAGTCTCTTCTGAGTGTGCTGGGTCTCCTAACAAGATGATTCTGTGTGCAGATCAAGTCTTACATCACAAGCGTCACTGCCCTGAGGGAAATGCCTCGGAGTCAGGTGACCAGATTCCAGCTATTCCAAGGAGTTCACGATTCCCCACCGTCTTTTCCTCACGGGATTCTTCCCACTTACTCCATGGCTGCACTTGCTTAAGATACCTTGACGTCTTAATTCTTAGCTTTGTAGAGCATGGGTTATTTCAGAGGAATGGTTATATAATCCTGAAGTTGCGTACATTGTGAGACTTCCTGGCTAGGTCAGGCCTCAGTGGTGATTTGAGCAGAGACTTAGGAAGTTTAGGTACAGGGCACCACACCTTGCTGCAAAGGAAAGAACTGTGAGGACCGTGTTGGTGTGGCCAAGGTGCCTACCTCCCGTCGCTTCCTTGTGCGTTTGGAACATTTCTGAGCTCTTCACAGTGATGCTTTGTGATGGTCAGGCTTGATCTAGACATGGAGTCCTCTTGTCAGGAGATCTGAGTAATGACCAACTCTGAAATCAGTGATATTCCCTCTGCTTGTGTAGCGCTTCTGAACCCTGCCACAAACTGAGCTATCAACCTTAGGGTAACTCAGCTCAGTTTAGGAGCCTGGAAAAACGTTAGTCAGCTTTGTGTGTTCTCCTCCTGCTCCTCCTCCTCCTCCCCCTCCTTCTTCCCCTTCTTCCTCTTCCTCCTCTTCCCCTTCCTCCCCTTTCTCTTCCTCCCCTTCCTCCTTCTCTTTTTCTTCTCCTCCTCCTGCCTTTTGTTTTTCAAGACAGGGTTTCTCTGTGTAGATCAGGCTGTCCTGGAACTCACTCTGTAGATCAGGCTGGCCTCAAACTCAGAGATCCACCTGCCTCGGCCTCCAGAGTGCTGGGGTTAAAGATGTGCACCACCACTGCCTTGCCTTGCGCTGCTACAGAGATTTACATTGGTATGGATCTTGGTTTATTGATACAAATTTTAGGTCAGTTTTGTTATATGTATATGGGCCAAGCAGTGATTCAATTAATACAGTTTCTGTGTGATTATTTTGGTTCTGGGCAGCCAGGAAGAACAAACGGCTCCTTGCAACATTGTGCTGTTTTCTAAAACTGTCATTTCCTTGCAACATATGAACATTTGTGTCATTATTTTTTGTCTTTCAACATTGTAGAAATGGGAAATTTCATGGTTGAAATTGATGCTGATAAATCTTTTTGCCTAAAAATTTGAATAAAATTGCAGTTGTTTCAGTGATGCCTGAGACTTTTTTCCACATACACGTGCTCAACATTTATCTTAGCTGTTCGCCAGAAAATATTGTAATGCTATATTGCCTGAAGCTCACTGTGTAGACCAGGCTGACCTCAAACTCAGAGATCCACCTACCTCTGCCTCCTGAGTTCTAGGATTAGAGGTGTGCGCCACCACCACCTGCAGACCCTACCACTGTTTTCAGGGACTTAGTATCCCACTGTCTTGCCTCTGGATTGTTAGTGGCTCTTATTAGCCCTCCCTATGCAGTTGGGTCCTGTGTGCCTCTCATTGTAGCTATCGTCTGCCAGGACCTTAGTGAAGCTCAGAGGGCTGTGGGAGGACAGGCTTTCTTTCTGAGATAACCTAGCAGTCTGTCCAGAGACTGATGGCCGATTCACCTGAAACATCCCTGGGATTTTTAGACAACAGTTACACAGAATAGCCTAGAAACCTCCAGAGAGGGGACAGGTCCTATGAAGAATTAAAATGCCTCAAACTTCCCAACGGTTAAAGAAGCTGACAAGCAACAGAGCCTTCTTAGTCTAAAGCAGAACGGTCTGACCACCCTGAATTTTCTACACAGTCAATTTGTCAGCCAATAATGAAGAAGTTTCTGGCATGTTGTTTTCAATGGTTTATGTCAAGGAACAGTGGTAGGACAGGCCTCAGGCGGAGACAGCAGTTATGTTTCCTCTAGATGGCCATTCTACCTGATTTTTGGAGTGAGCTTTCCACACCGTCAAGTCCATCTACTTGGTATGGCCTTGACGGATCATAACCAGTTGTGTGGGCGGCAGAGAAGGCCCATGTGGGTTTGCTTTTCACATGAGCCACAAGATCAACACCAAAGCTTAGATCCATGATAATCTGGCAAAGCCGTTCCTCCAGGGGACGCTCAGAGAAACGACAAAGCTTTCCTGCTGTCTGAGTGTGAATGTCGACTGTGCATGCAGAAAACGCCCACCATGGCTTTTTCTTCTCAGATATTCACAGCCTGAAGACTGCTCCCCTACAGAGACTGCTGCTGACTCCGGCTCCTACTGAGATTAGTGGAGCCTGCTCCCTTCCTTTAGCTAAATACCACAAACCCTGGCTACTTGTTCAACAGTAAGCACACTGAGATTCTGGGATGCTGAAGCTTCTCCCTCAAGCCTTTTCTGTGTGTCCATCCATATGTCTCTTCTCATTTCCTCACCACCCCAATTAGGTCAGTCCCTGGAGCCCTGGAAGACCCACAGAGGGAAGACAGTTAATTGTGCTTGGGTTTATAACCAGGTTAGAAAAGGCCCTTGGGTGGAACCTTGGCTCTGGAGATGCCCACTCTGGCCTCCATGATTGGGAATGTTCAAGCCACATTGGGAGGCCGTATCATTGTACCTTGGCTGTTAGTGTCTGCTGAGCCCAGATGCCAATCATCCTACACAGGTGCCAGAAACAGGAATTATTAAAGAACCTCAGGGAACCCAGTTTCAGTCCTGAGCTAGGGACAGCCCACAAGGACTACAGGGATAGCCAGAACTGACAGGTTTTGCCCTTCTGAGGCCTGCTGGAGCTTCTAAGATAGGCTTGCTGGTTGTGGCCTCATGCACATTATCTGGTGTCTGATCGGGGTCAGAGCTGCCGAACTGTCAGCTGGCAGGTCAGGAGGGAAACCCTGAGCCACATGGTACAGTCAGGCTTTCGATGACACGTCGTGGGCCCTGAGACAAGGATTCAGAGGATGGAGCCCAAAGCCAGATTCAGTTTAAAATATTCTGAGCTACATCCCAGCACTGGGTCAGGTGCAAGTCAACTCCTCTGTGCTTCGATTTCTTTACAGAGAAGGTGGGAAGTAACTATAGATCCTCTCACAGGACAGCTGTGGACTTAGCTGACATTCACTCGTGCCTCAGCACGCACGGAAAGTTCAGCAACGGATCACTCACCCCACTGGAGACATTACAGAAAGACATTATTAGTACACGAGGGCACCAGCAGCTCATGGTGGGGGCTGGGATTTGAGGCAGCCTCTCCTAAAACCCTTGAGGGTTACCTCGGTACAGACCGTACTGCGCGCGTGTGTGTGTGTGTGTGTGTGTGTGTGTGTGTCCGTGCGTGCATGCGTTCGCCCCTGTATATACATGAGCATATGTGTCTTGAAACTTCTTTCTTATCATGGCTATCCAGACTCTCACCTACCTTGGGTGGGGCAGTCTGCTGCTATCATAACCCCCAGTGCAGCTTTTATCAGCCAGCCCTGTGGCATTAAAGGTGCCACTAGGCCTAGCTAGGGCACCCCCCCGCACCCCACTGGCTAGGACTCCACCCTACTCTGTCCAGTGAGAGCCTAGCTAAGCTTATAGCCTCTCCTCAGGCTAGCTGAGTCTCCAGGTTGTGCCTTGTGTTACAAGGATAAAGAAGCCCTGGCCCAAATCTTCCTGTGGGCCACTACTGATCCACCCAGTTGTGCAGGGCGCACAGGGCCTAGGTGGACCCCAGATGGTGCAGACAGATATACTGGGACTTCTCATGTATGCTGTGAGGACACAAGGACACTTTCTCTCTGTCTCCCAGGCTTTACCCAACACTCAAGATTAGGTCTGCCGGTCCTGCTCCCCTGGGATGAGTCAACCCGGAATAGAAATCCCGGAATGAGCCTCGTAGGAGAGCTCTGAGAGCCTTTGCATCCCTGCTACCCCGGGTAGAGATTGTCTTGGAGAGAAATGGCTGTCTGGTAGAATTCCCCCTTCTTCTCCCTCCCACCTCAGCTCTGGTGCAATAGGAGCGTGCAGCGATAGTGCGCACCCGAGTGGCCGCTAGGAGCCAGGAGGCCGCGGCGTCACTGGGTCCGGACCTTGTGATCGCCCAGCAGTAACTGTCCCCACTCCCCGCCACTGCGTGTTCGCGCGGCGTGTTTACTTCTGGTACCCGGGCCCCTCCTCTGTGTCATCTCCCTGCATTCTGGTCCTCTGGTCTCCATGGAGCAGCTGCTGCGCGCCGAGCTGCGCACCAAGACACTGCGTGCCTTTGGGAGCTCAGGGGCCGGCTGCATCAGCGAAGGCCGTGCCTACGACACCGACGCTGGTCCGGTGTTTGTCAAGGTCAACCGCAGGACGCAGGTGCGCTGAGGGGTGTGCAGGATGGGTTCTGGGGAGGGGAAAGAGGAATGCACGTTTCTGGGAAGTAGTAGGGGGAACTAGACCTGGTGTCTTTACCCTCCCTGAGGGGTCAGCTCCTGCAGGGAGGCTTCCTCCTAGAACTGTAGGATTTGTCTTTGATGTATAATCACTCTTGTTTTTTTGCCCCCACACAAGGGCTTTAAATTTCTGCTGTCATTGATCATGGAGATGAGTCTCAGCTGTAAACACCATCTGCCCACGTCTGGTCTCTGCCTTGAGCTCAGCTCCAGCATTCTGGGGAAAGAGAGGAGTCCCACTACCAGGCTAGCACTCTTCCTCACAAGCTCTGGAGTTACTAGGACACCTTAATGTATTCCTGTTTAAGAATGTGTGGAGCCAGGAATAGCAACACATATTTATAAGCAAAGTGCTTAGGAGGCTGAGGGCGGCATATCTCAAGCCAGCTGGGCCACATGAGGAGACCCTGACTCAAAACAAAACTAACAACAACAAAAGAATATGAAAAACTATAAGACAGATGGAGAGCGTTGGCTAGAGGCCCCAAGAGCAATCTGCTGATGGCACAGTTGGGTGCTCCCCCAGCTCTGAGGGTTTCCAGAGGTCCTATGCTCCAGATGTAGCTCTGGAAGGTGGTTCCAGTAGTTATGCTGACTGTGGGGGGAGAAGAGGATCCCAGAGCAGCCCTTTTTGGTCCCCCAATATCATTAGAGATGGTGTCAGAAATAGGACTAGCCTGCATCCTCTGTACTGTTGGGATCGCTTGGAGGTTCACCCTGGAGACATGGCTGGGGTTTGCAGATCAGATGCTCTTCCCATCCAGGATACCCAACCCTTGCCTCTTGGTCCCAAGTGCAGGTTTACGGTTTAAGGATACCCCTCTGACGTTCCCCTTGGAAATCTGAATTAAACGCGAAGAATTCTTTTCATGTGTGACAAAAGTGTTTTGGCTTCAAGTTTCATTTTTTTTAATTAAAAACATTCAATTATTTTTTGTATATGCATGTGTGTGTGTGTGTGTGTGTGTGTGAGAGAGAGAGAGAGAGAGAGAGAGAGAGAGAGAGAGAGAGAGAGAGAGAGAGAGAGAGAGAGAGAGAGAGAGAGAGAGAGAGAGAGAGAGAGAGAGAGAGAGAGAGAGAGAGAGAGAGAGCTCTGGCTTACACACACCACGATGTATATAGAAGTCAGTGGACAACTTTTGGGGAGTTGGTTCTGTTTTTCTGCCTTGTTTTCTGGCAAGGTCTCTCTTGTTTCTGCCCCTACAAAGCATGTTCCAGGGTAGCTGGCCTCAAAGATTCTAGGCAATTTTGCTGTCTCTGCCTCCTGTCATGTAGCGGGAGGGCTTGGATTGCAGGTGCACAGTACGAGATTTGACTTTTCACGTGGGCTCTGGGGATCAAAGCTGGGTCATCAGGCTCGTGTGGTAAATGCTCTTACCTACCAGTGTCATCTATTTTTAATTTTTAAAAACCTATGATTCTAGCCAGGTGGTGATGGCGCATGCCTTTCATCCCAGCACTCGGGAGACAGAGGTAGGAGGATATCTCTGAGTTCCAGGCCAGCCTGGTCTACAGAACGGGTTCTGGGACAACCAAGGCTACACAGTGAGACCCTGTCTCAAAAAACCAAACCAAACCAAACAAACAGCCACCCCATGATCCTATATATATAGAAGTATTCACAAACCCATTATAAATGCATTTTTTTGTGGGGTGCTGAGGATTTCATTCAGTAGTACAGCATTGCCTAGTATGCACAGTCTCCTGGGCTCAGTCACCAGCACCATGAATAAATAAGTAAATAAATAAAACACATGTTTTTCACCACGGTATGAACAATATGTAAGTCTGCCTAAAAATAAAATGGGATATTTGTAGAAATAGTTTAGGAACAAGAAAGCCTCTGGGTGCCAGCAAAAGCCTTACCGGCAAGCAGGCTGTATGAGTCTTTTGTAGCTTCCCTAGTCCCTGCTTGTAGGGATAAGTCCCTCCAAGAGGCAGGAAAGAAAGCAGTGCCATGGAGGACCCAGGCCCCAACTCGGACTTTTTGTTAGCTCTTATCTGACTTGAGCCTGCTCCTCCTGTCACCCCTTGTCATCCCTTTGTGGTCTGTGCTTCTTCCACAGCAAGGCTTTGCCGTATGGGTCTTCACACAGACACCTTGAGTCCTGGCATCGGGTTTGTCCTTGCAGCTCCTTACCTGAAGGGGTCCCTTTCGCACCCTGGCCTTGAGAGGTGCATGTGAGGTTGTTTTTCAGTAACTGAAGGCACTTGGTTTTGTGGCTTGTGTCAAGGGCCATGCATCCCTTGGACTGGCTAACAAGGCCCCTGTGAGAGTCCAGGTTATCAGAGCTGACAGTGTTCGTGGCATTTGGATGCAGGCCCGGCAGATGTTTGAGGGAGAGATGGCAAGCCTGGAGGCCCTCCGCAGCACTGGCTTGGTGCGGGTACCTAAGCCCATGAAGGTGATTGACCTGCCAGGAGGTGGGGCTGCCTTCGTGATGGAATATTTGAAGATGAAGAGCCTGAGCAGGTGAGTACATTTGTGTGGATGGGAGAGGGAAGGTCATGTGTGCACATGTATGGGAGAGGGAGGAGGGCCGTGTGTGCACGTGTATGGGAGAGGGAGGGCCGTGTGTGCACGTGTATGGAGAGAGGGAGGAGGGCCGTGTGTGCACGTGTATGGGAGAGGGAGGGCCGTGTGTGCACGTGTATGGGAGAAGGAGGGAGGGCCGTGTGTACACACGTATATGGGAGAAGGAGGGAGGGCCGTGTGTGCACATGTATGGGAGAAGGAGGGAGGGCCGTGTGTGCATGTGTATGGGAGAGGGAGGGCCGTGTGTGCACGTGTATGGGAGAAGGAGGGAGGGCCGTGTGTACACACGTATATGGGAGAGGGAGGGCCGTGTGTGCACGTGTATGGGAGAGGGAGGGCCGTGTGTGCACATAGAGACACACAGACAGGAAGAGAGAGGACAGGGAAAGTCTGGCATAAACACAGTGAGACAGGTACAGAAAGAGGCAGGGACAGACAGACACATAGACAAAAGACACAGAGAAATAGAAATAGAGAAGACAGACAAAACAGGTGGAGAGAAAGCAGTGGAAGGGGGGACACTAGGGAGCAGCCTCTGCTCAGACAGAAATGGACTGAGAGAAAGAGAAAGAGCACTGGGAAGAAGCCTCTGCTGAGCTTGCATAACTCAGTCCAGTGGCCAGAGTCCTTTTTCTTTTTTAAGGTGTTACTATGTACCCCTGACTGGCCTTGAACTCACTATGTAAACCAGCCTAGCCTCTGCCTTCCAAGTGCTGGGATTAAAGGTGTGCCTCACCATGCCTGACTGGCTGTCAGAGTCCATTTTTAAAGATTTACTTTTATTATACACATATGTTTGTCTACAGGTACGTGCACCAAGTGCATGTCCAGTGAGGCTAGACAAGGGTTTGGATTTCCTGGAACTGGAATTAGAGATGTTTTTGGGCTGTCACATGGGTACTAGGAACCTGGGTCCAATGCAGGAACTCTGAACAGATGAGCTGTCTCTTCTTTCTTCAGCTCTGGTCCTTGGAGTCCACTCTTTATTGTTCTGGTTTCCTCTTATTGGACCTGAGATCTTGAAACTGAAGCTTCTATTAATTCTCCAACTTTCATAAGAATAACAACTTGTCTTTCTCTACTAAATTAAAAAAAAATACTTATTTTATGTGTATTGGTGTTTTGTCTGCATGTATGTCTGTGCACCACATTGTGTACTGCCCTCAGAAGCCAGAAGAGGGGGTTTGGATCCCCTCAGCCTGGAGTTATAGAAGGTACGAGCCATCATGTGGGTGCTGGAATTGAACCCAGTTCCTCTGGAAGAGCAGCCAGTGCTCTTAACACCTGAGCCATCTCTCAATCCCCTATTCTTTTTTTTTTAATATTTATTTATTTATTATGTATACAATAGTCTGTCTGTATGTCTGCAGGCCAGAAGAGGGCACCAGACCTCATTCCAGATGGTTGTGAGCCACCATGTGGTTGCCGGGAATTGAACTCAGGACCTTTGGAAGAGCAGGCAATGCTCTTAACCTCTGAGCCATCTCTCCAGCCCCTATTATTTTACTTTTAAGAGTACCTTTAAGGTATTTATAACATTTCTCAAAGCAGAACGTGCTGACTAGTGTTATTTGCCTGCCATTTTAACTGCTGCCTTTCTTCTTTCTTTAGCCAGGCATCAAAGCTCGGGGACCAGATGGCAGATTTGCACCTTTATAACCAGAAGCTCAGGGAGAAGGCCAAGGCCCGGGAGAACACAGTGGGTCAGTTCAGTTCACCCTGGGCCTAGCCCGTCAGCTCTCTTAGATGGGTGTTCGTGCTGCTGCTTCTTGGTGGCATTTTAATAATGGGTTGAGTGGTATAGCATCTCCCTTTATAGTTCATCAAACAACTTTTTCTTTATTTGTGTGTGTGTGTGTGTGTGTGTGTGTGAGAGAGAGAGAGAGAGAGAGAGAGAGAGAGAGAGAGAGAGAGAGAGAGGAGAGAGAGAGAGAGAGAGACATGTTCAGGTACTTGCTGGGGTTGATCTGCCCCTGATCCTCTAGAGGTAGAGTTGCAGGTAGTTATATATTGCTTAACCCAGGTGCTGGGGTCATCTCTCCAGCCCCAAATACACTGTGAAAATGAGATGATTAAGTAATTTTAATGAAGCTTATAAATGAGTAGAATTGGCTTCTAACCAACCCGTCCCACAGTCTGTCCATTGGTCTAGCGTAGAAAAGCCCCGGCGAATCTATGTGCTGGCTTCCATGCGTAGTGAGCTCTCAGATGACCAGTGTCGGAGCCATTTGTGTGCAGGCAGCCAGGTCTGCAGGTCATTCTCCTGAGGTCTGGTTCCCACGACAGATTTCTGTTGACAGGCTGTGGGGCTGAGAGTGCCGAGCCCCAGGGTGTGACCAAGTTCGGCTTCAACACGGTGACGTGCTGCGGCTTCATCCCACAGGTGAGTGTCTGAGTGAGGGCGTCTCTACCTAGTGATGGCCATTCTTGAGGCTCCGGTGCTTGACTGAAGTGCCAGTCGCTGACCCCTTGTGTGCAACAGAGTGCCAGTTCTCCAGATACCGGAGCGTTCAGCCGTTGTTTCTGAAGGCAGAGTGTAGGCGGTGACACCTATGACAGATGTGAAGGCTACCCGAGCCAGGCTTGGAGGGAGTCAGCTGATCGACATTCCAGGTGGGGGCATCAGTGATGCAAAAGATATGCTATAGGAGGGTACCAGGCCTGTTTAAGAGTCTGAGGAGTGTAGACAGGGTAATGCCAAAGATCAAGCCCTTATCGCTCAGGTCCTTTTCCAGGGCTGCTAACATGATTGTCCTTTATTAAAATACAATTGAGATGTAATTCATGTAACACAAAACTCTCCATTTTATTTTGTTTGTTTGGCTTTTCAGGACAGGGTTTCTCTGTGTAGCCCTGGCTGTCCTGGGATACCCTCTGTAGACCAGGCTGGTCTCAGACTCATAGAGATCTGCCTCCCTTCACCATGCCCAGCTAAAGCTCTCCCTTTTAAAGTGTATTATTCAATGATTTTTAGTACAATCGCAGTGCTAATGCAAATATCACCGTTATCTTGTGTTCAAGTTCTAACCAGGCCCTTACTGCTTAGCCTCTGAGGTCAGAGGAGGTCAGGTGTGTTCAGGCAATATGTCTTTGGATTTTTATGTCTCATTCCAGAATATTTTCATCACCCAATAGCAACTCCTGTTAGCAGTCACCCCCTTTTCCGCCCTCACAAACTGCGCATCTCTATGCCCATTCTAGACATTTTATATTGGCGACATTGTGTAACATGTGACCTGTGTCCAGTTTCTCTCACTTACTACAGTGTTCTCAAGGTTAATCTACCGCACAATTAATAAAAACCCCAAGACAGAAACTGGAGTTCAACCTGAAGGTCAGAAAAGCAAAACAGTCAGCCACTGGCTGTTACCTCTTCCTCAGTCTGAAATGGCAATCCTGCCTCCAGGAATCTCAGAATGAGATTCTAGTGCTGGGATTAAAGGCCTGCACCACTACCGCCCGGTTTCTATGGCAAACTAGTGTGGCTACTGGGACCACTGCCTGGTCTGTAAGGCTGATCAGTGCGGTTGTTTTACTCTCTGCTCCATGTAATCATTTCAATATGTTCCATGTCAAATCTTTTGAAGTTTATACATGAAATCCGTTCATGTCAAGTGTGTCCAAAGTCTATTCCAGTTTATGGAATAACCATGATCTCTGTCTATCCGTTCATCTGCTGATGGATGTCTGTTGTTCCTAGCGTGTTTTTGATAAATAAAGCTGCTATGAACCTTTGTGTAAGTCATTGTGTAAAAGTACTTTATCTTGGGTGTATACAGGAGACCCGAGACAGGAAAGCCTGGGTAGCGCAGTAGGTTCTTACTGAGTTTTTGTGAAACTGCCACATAGGGCTGAGAGTTGGTTAAGAGTACATACTGCTTTTCAGGAGGACTTGAGTTTGGTTCACAACCACGTGTCACTTCAGCTTCAGGGGATCTGATGCCCTCTGTCGTCCTTTGCAGGTCCCACACATCCGTGGCATACTCTTACAGATCCATGGCACACTCTCACAGATCCGTGGCACACTCTCACAAATCCGTGGCACACTCTCACAGATCCGTGGCACACACTCACAGATCTGTGGCACACTCACACAGAGATACACACACATAAAATTTAAAAATAGATTAAAAAAATAACAAAAAGCTGCTCATGCTTCCAAAGAGGTTGTACCAGTTTACAGTCTCATCAGTTCATATAAGAATTCCATTTTTTTTCTACTCTTATCTACACTGGATGTTTTCTGTAGTTGTTTTCAGTTGAAGCTGAAGAAAAGCGTTCACTCTGAGATTCCATTTTGTATTTCTGTCATGACTGGTGGGTGATGTGGAATAAGCATATGTGGGCACGCACACATGTTAACTGTATGTCTTCTTTAGCATATGTGGGCACGCACATGTGTTAACTGTATGTCTTCTTTAGCATCTGTGGATGTGCACACATGTTAACTGTATGTCTTCTTTTCCTTTCCCTTCTTGAGACAGGGTCTCACTATATAATCCTGTCTGACTTGAAGTTGAATGTAGACCAGGCTGGCTTTGAGCTTGCTATAGTCCTCCTACCTGAGCCTCCCAAGGGCTGAGGTTACAGCTGTGGATCACTATGCCTGGCCCTGGCAAAAGCCAATTATTATTTTTTAAAATTGAGCCAGGTATGCCATACGCCTGTAATCCAAGAAGTTTGGAAAACGGAGGCAGAAGAATTAGAAATTCTTAGGCACCCTTGGCTACACAGCATGAGGGCCTGGGTTCGGATCCCTGGCCCTGCTGTGAAAATGCTGGGCACTGTGCCATGTACCTGCAATCGCCTATACTGTAGTCACAGTTCTGGCTTCTCTCGTTGCTCAGGTGAATGAATGGCAGGATGACTGGCCAACGTTTTTCACACAACACCGGCTCCAAGCACAGCTAAACCTCATTGAAAGGGACTATGCTGACCGAGAGACACAAGAACTGTGGTCAAGACTACAGGTGGGCATACCGCTTCTCTCGAAAGAGGCTGTCTCTCATGAGCCTCTTGTGCATGTGGGGGCCTCTCAGGACTGAGTCAGAGTTGGGATGGTCAGGTTGTGGGTACATCAGCCACCACTTTCTCACCCCGTAGGTGGGGGGAGGGATGGGACAGACCCTTGGCTCATAGATTTAACTCATTTTATTTGTCCACTCTTAACCTCAGTTTTTTTCCTCTACCAAAGACCCGATGTGCCACCCTTAGTGAAAATGTGTGTTCCTGCATGACTTGTTTCAAAATATATTCCAAATTATTAGAAACACAGTTCATCTATCAGTCTAGGGCAATGATTCTCAGCCTGTGGGTCGTCATCCCTGGGGATCAAACGACCCTTTCGCAGGGGTCACATACCACATATCTTGCATATCAGATGGTTACATTACAATTCATAACAGTAGCAAAATTATAGCTATGATGTAGCAACAACTTAATTTTATGGTTAGCAGTCACCACAACATGAGGAACTGTATTAGAGGGTTAAAGCATTAGGAAGGCTGAGAACCACTGGTTTAGGGTAAACATGCATCAAAGTAATGTTATTTAACAGAAAAGATTCAGGTACATATGTGCAATAAACCAAAAACATAGCTCAGAGGGTAGGTACCAAACTGGTTCATAGTCTACAGCATAAAACTAACTTCTGAGATTTCCCATAAAGCTTTTGGGCTCATTTGGTTAGTTCCCAGAAAGCTAGGCAAAGCTGCATTCCTGAATCAGGTGAGCCTTTGGACCCGACAGATTTTTTGGTTGGACTCTAGATGAATCCATGTCTCTCTGCTCTATTTCCAAGCTCGGGATAATGAACCCATGGGCCTCTGAGTCCCACACTTCCAATACTTTCTCTTCTAGGTGAAGATCCCGGACCTGTTCTCTGGTGTAGAGATTGTCCCTGCCCTGCTCCATGGAGACCTCTGGTCTGGCAATGTGGCGGAGGATGACCAGGGGCCCATTATTTATGATCCAGCTTCCTTCTATGGCCATTCTGAGTTTGAACTGGCAATCGCACTGATGTTTGGGGGGTTCCCCAGATCCTTCTTCACTGCCTACCACCAGAAGATCCCCAAGGCTCCGGGGTTCGACAAGCGCCTGCTGCTCTATCAGCTCTTCAACTACCTAAACCACTGGAACCACTTTGGGAGGGAGTATAGAAGCCCGTCCTTGGGCGTGATGAGGAAGCTGCTCAGGTAGCAGAGGGCTGGGACCCAATAAAAAGTCAAATCGGGACCCCGACTGGGCTAATTTGGAGTTGGCCTCCAACAAATTCATCAAGAACCGGCCGTGAGGCTGACAGAGGGAGCTGTGTATGCAGCTCCTGTTGATGCTGGCATCTGATACAGCATCACTGTTCCCGGCAAGTTCCCCCCTCAGCGGCTGCAGCCCCAAGTGCCACAGTTGGGTAGGAAGGACCACCCCCGCCAAGGCTCTGGTCATTCAGTTGCAATCGCCACCGGACCCTCTTTAGTACCTCACTTTTTTTCCTACTTTTTTTTTTAGACATTATTTTGTGTGTATGTGTGTTCAAATGTGTGTGTATAGGGTAGAGTACAAACCTTGTGTTTTCTCTTCTTCCACTATGTGGGAACCAAACTTGTTGGTTATCCACAACATATCCAAGAAGACTGCTCTGACATGGATTTAAGCCAATAGAAAGTCTTTATTAGCCCTCCAGTGACTACAGCAGGTGTTTGGAATCCCAGCATAGCACTGAGTATTTTTCAGGGTGAGTTTTTTTTGTTTGTTTCTTTGTTTTGTTTTGTTTTTCAAGACAGGGTTTCTCTGTGTTGCTTTGGAGCCAGTCCTGGAACTAGATCTTGTAGACCAGGCTGGCCTCGAACTCACAGAGATCCGCCTGCTTCTGCCTCCCAAGTGCTGGGAATAAAAGCGTGCACCACCACCACCCGGCTCAGGGTGAGCTTTTAAGCGCAAAAACCATATCCTGGACTGATATATTTTATTTAATAAGAACAGTTGGTCAGAAGCGGAACTACAGAAGCAAAAAAAAAAAAAAAAAAAAAAAAGCAAGGTTAATTCATTTAGAGACTTTCCTAGAACTACGGATTTTGATGGGTTAAGTTTTTTTTTTTTTTTCAGTTTAACTGGTGGGTGTTGTCTACATGCTGAGAGTTATAGTCTGAACGGTACTTCCATCATGGAAAGACCCCACTTTACAGTGAGATCTATTATGCTGGTGAGCGCAGGGCCAGCAGTGTGCAGCCCACACCCCTTGTCAGGGCTGCCTTGGGCGGCCCCATTGTTCCGATGTTTAAAATGTCATCGCAAATGCCTTCATCCTGGAACAACATCCCTCTCACAAACCCTATCGTCTCCCATACTCTTATAGCACATCGTAGGCGCTCTGACATCGTCACCTAGTTCTCATCCACCCCCCCTCCCCTGCGTTCAGACACCTCCCCTCCACTCAGGCCCTTTCCACGCAGCTTTCCTGCAAAAAACCTCGGTTCCGCCCCATCTTAAATCCTCCTTGTCCAGACGCTCCGCCCTCAGCCCGCCTCCAATCACCCAAATCCATCCCTCGCCTAACTCAGATCTGCCCACAACTCAGGTCACACTCTCCGCGGCCCCGCCCACCCCTGCCGGGCTCCACCCACTCCCGGTTGGGGCTGGAGAAGCCTTCCTCCTCCTAGTACCGCCCTGTGCACCGAGCCGGCTTCGCTCGAGCTGTTTTGTCGGCTGGCGCTCCCTGTAGGGTGGGTCGAAGGTCTCGGGGCGGAGCTGGCGTCTCTCGTGGGGCGCCTCCTTTCTCTCCCGGTTGCCGGTATGGTTCTGACGGAAGCCGCTGGCGGGATGGTCCTGAGCGATGAGCCGGCTGCGACCACCGCCGCCGAGGAGGAGGAGGAGATGGAGGATGACGTGCTCTCCAGCGGCGCCGCCCTGGAAGCGTTCGGCGAGAGCGCGGAGACCCGCGCGCTGCTCGGCAGCCTGCCTGCGGTGCACGGCGAGCGCGCGGCCCGGGAGGTGGCGGAGGAGCGATTCCGCGGTGCGCGCGGGGCCCCGAGTTGCTGTCCTGCAGTCATTGCAGCTGGGAGGAAGGGACCTGGGGAGCCATACCTCCTGCCTGTCCTGTGTTGCCCTGGAGCGAGCAAAACACACTTGGTTCTTGTCTGCGAGCTGGGAGGGAGCGAGCAGGATTGCCGAGAGCAAAGCTGCCACCTACGGGCGCTTGTGGCTTGGGGCGTGTGCTCCTCTGGGGCTCCGCTGTGAGGCCATTGGCTCTTCAACCTCAGAGCGCCAGGTTTAACTAGGACCTCGGCTGCAGGCAGGGCAGGAGAGTGGACGATGCCGTTAGGTTCCTTGGGTGGTTCCACATTCTCCACGTCTGGGTAGACTTTTGCAGTCGTCTATAATGAGTACTGTCTGCCATAGTTTTTTGTCAACTTGACACAAACCTAGACGTACCTCGAAAAAAAATCTCAAGTAATTGCACCACCAGATCGGCTTGTAGGCACGTCTTTGCAGATGAAGGAGGGCCCAGCCCATTGCTGGCTGGATAAGAGAGATTGCTGAATTTGAGCCTGGGATCAAGTCGGTGAGCAATGCTTCCATATAGTTCCTGCTTCTACTGCTTAAATTCATTCCTTAACGTCCCTCAGTGTTTGGCTGGGTAAGCCAAATAAACTCTTTCTCAAGTTGGTTTTGGTCAGTTTTTATTACAGGAACAGAAAGCAAACCAGGGCAGTGTCCAAATGAGCCCTTGGATAATTAAAGTTTTATATGTGAGCAAAATCGTTTTTGTGGATTCCTCAGCTAAGAAGATTCTCTCCACAATGTCTTTCTTGCTTTGGAGTGATGGGGCTCTAGTTTTAGGGAAAGGCAAGGGGGTGGGGCTTAGTGGAGGGAGTCTGAAGTGGCAGGTGAGGATCTCAGAGGCAGAGAGATCTCTGGGTTGGGTAGAAGCAGATTAAGTTGCTGGTAGGGGTGGAAAGCAGGTGGCCAGGGTCAGAGAGGTTGTGCAGTCACTGGTTTGAAGATTGTTGGGATGGGAGGGCATCACGCTTAGCAGGGGAGCATAGAAGATGTGGAAGGGTGTATCAGAAAAAGCGTGAGAAAGAAGATCCAAGAGGAAGGTGTCACACTGGTCCTCAGGAACGTGTTGGGCATCTATTAGCTAGGTCGGGTGTTTCCCTGGGAGTTACAAAGGCCAAGAAGAGGCGCGCTGTCTCAGGGTTACCCAGAGGCAATAGGAGAGTTTATAAAGCCATCTGATTTGATTTTTATATTGTTTTCCTTTTAGTGATTATGGACAAATACCAGGAGCAGCCGCACCTCCTGGACCCACACCTTGGTAAGCACAGAAGCTGGTGATTTTGATGGTTCAGTATTGGTCACCATGAAGGCTTTGTGTGTACCCCTGGCACCTCCGTGTGTACCCCTGGCGCCTCCGTGTGTACCCCTGGCGCCTCCGTGTGTACCCCTGCACCTCTGTGTCTATCCCTGGCGCCTCCGTGTGTACCCCTGGCGCCTCCGTGTGTACCCCTGGCGCCTCCGTGTGTACCCCTGCACCTCCGTGTGTACCCCTGCACCTCCGTGTGTACCCCTGGCGCCTCCGTTTGCTACCGGCAGAAGGTGCCAAATGAAGTGTCCGTAGGGCTGTGTCCTTTTTTGTCTGTCATTTGGTTTTATGAACCTCTGATAATGAAGACCTGGGAGTTCAGGTGTCGGTCTAGATTGTGTGCAAATGTGTTTAAGCTACTTTATGCTCGTTGCTATTTAAAGACTACATCTTGTGCTGGAGAGATGGCTCAGCGGTTAAGAGCACTGCCTGCACTTCCAAAGGTCCTGAGTTCAATTCCCAACAACCGCATGGTGGCTCACAACCATCTGTAATGAGATCTGGTGCCCTCTTGAGGAAGAGACCTGGTCAGTCGTCCTCACCAGCTTAGACCATGAAACCCAACCTGGACAAGTTCAACAGAACCGCCATATGCTGGCTTTCCATGCCTGCTTCAGCATTGCTAGAGCAAAGTTTGATTAATTTCTTTTCTCCTTATGTGTGTTTTAGCGTGTTATGTGAACAGCTGTTATCTTCCAGGTAACTCACGCAGGATCGTGCGCTTTCTAAGTTCCCGGTTTATCTGCACAGCTGTTGATGAGGTCATCTGTCATCTCCATGTTTACAGAGGGAGACACTGAGGCGTGGTCTCATGTCTTTAGTATAAGGAGAGTATGGTACAGGGCTATCCTCTGAGATAAACAGCCACCGTCTGTGGAGTTCAGCCGCGTACACTTTCAAAAGATTATTCCAGCTGGGCTTGTTGACTTTTTACACCCCCTCATATGGAGGCAAGAATGGGCAGTAGACCCTAGAGTCTGGGTTCTCAACCTGTGGGTCTTGACCCCCTTCATACGAGTCACATATCAGATACCCTGGATATCAGATTTTATATTGTGATTCATAACAGTAAAATTAGTTATGAAGGAACAATGAAATAGTTTTATGGCTGGGGTTCACCACAATATAAGGAGCAGTATTAAAGGGTTGCAGCATTAGGAAGGTTGAAAACCACTGTTCTCTATAATACTTATATAATAGGGTGTATATATATATGTGTGTGTGTGTGTGTGAGTGTATAAAACATATATAGCATATATTTTTCTCTTATGTATTATACATTGTTCTATCTCTATCTAGAGGAGGGAGACTCCCATCTCTGTGGCTATGGGAAAGCCATCTCTGCTGGGTAAAGACTTTTTTGGGAGACATCTGCATTCCAGTAAATAACCCCTCACCCATGCTCCGTAAAGAAGTCCAGTATATACTCATGGGTTCCCTAGAGTGAATTCTGATGGACTAGTAACCTTGGTTTGCCCTTGGGACCTTAGAGGAGGTGTAGGTATTTTACGTCCACCCCTAGGAAGGCATTTTAGTTTGTTTGCTTTTCATTGCTTTCATTATGTTTGAACCTAATTTATATTACATTTTTTTGTTTGTTTGTTTGTTTGCATCTTCTGTTTTTTTTTTTTTTTTTTTTGGTTTTTCGAGACATCTTCTGTTTTGAGACAGAGTCTTGCGAAGTAGCCCTGACTGGCCTTAAATTCATGGCAATTCTCCAGCCTCAACCTCCTAAATGTTGGGATTGCAGATGTGAACCTCCCTTTTTTTTTTTTTTTTTTTTTTTTTGAGGTAGGGTCTTGCTTTGTAGCCTACGCTGGCTTCAAGTACTCTTGTTTTTGTCTTCTGTGTGTGTGTGTGTGCGTCAGTGTGTGTCTATGTGTGTCTGTCTGCATGTTTTTTTGTGTGTCTGATTTTTTTCCTGTGTGTGTGTGTGTGTGTGTGTGTGTGAGAGAGAGAGAGAGAGAGAGAGAGAGAGAGAGAGAGGAGTGATCCAACTGATTTAATCATTGTAGTAACCTCGCAGTCCCTGTGGAAGGTCAGTTATCCTAAGCTACATATAAATATGGGGAAACTGAGGTACAGGTCTGAGAGGTTCAGTCACTTGTTCCCTGCTGCACAGTTGGTGAGATTGCAGGCAGGATTTAAACACCCCTGGACCTCCTGAAGATGAGAGATGGTGAGATTGCAGGCAGGATTTAAACACCCCTGGACCTCCTGAAGATGGGTCTTTGGAGGGACCAGCTGCAGACAAGGGGTTGATGTCAGACTGAAGAGTGTCTTGGGTCTCGTCTGATAGTTTTGGATTCCTCATCGTCCCCATGAAACAGATGTGGGCACTGTACAAGAAGTGAAGAAGACCTCGATGCTTGCTTGTGCTCATCCTTTCCTGTGTGGGGCACATTTTTTGACTTCAGTTTTGCCTTTCAGTGTTGTTTGTGGTATGTATCCATTGAGGTTTAATATATTTGAGTTTGAACATTGTCTATTTTTCTTGTGTTTTTTTTTTTTTTGTTTTGTTTTGTTTCTGAAGCAGGGTTTGATTGTATAACCTAGACCGGCTTTAAACATCTTCCTGCCTCAGCCTCGTGCTAAGATTGTAGGCCTCTGCCAGCAAGCTCAGTCTCTTACTTTGCATTTGGTCTTTGGTAGTAAGCCCAGAATCTAACTCTTTAATTGATTATGTAAGGCTTATTAACTGAGTGATCTGGCAGTCCTTCCCCCTGCTTGAAATATAATATTTTAATGTAATTTTTATTTCTGTGGGCATGTGTCAGTTCTCGGAATTGCAGGCAGTTGTTTCTGGCCAGCGTGGTTTCTGGGAACCAAACCTTACCGATTTTCTTTTTACTTGGTTCTGTTTCTGATTTTGGTTTTTGGTTTATCTTGGTGTTCTGGGGTTTGTTGTATTGCATACTGAATTATTTAGTCTTCACAGTGAATTGATTTTTGTAATTGAAAATGTCCTCTAGGGGGCTGGAGAGATGGCTCAGAGGTTAAGAGCATTGCCTGCTCTTCCAAAGGTCCTGAGTTCAATTCCCAGCAACCACATGGTGGCTCACAACCATCTGTAATGGGTTCTGGTGCCCTCTTCTGGCCTGCAGGCATACACACAGACAGAATAGTGTATACATAATAAATAAATAAATATTTTTAAAAAATAAAAATAACTAACAAAAAAAAAAGAAAATGTTCTTTAGGTTTTGTGATGTTATTGTTCCTTAAGCCTCTCCTGATAGCAAATATTGCGTGTCTCTCCTTTTTGTCTGGATTCAGCCTGCCAGTCCTTGTCTTTCGATAGCCATTAGGGTGTTTTCATTTAGTAAAGCTGACAACATGACTAGGTTTTTTTTTTTAATTAATTTTTTATTTCATGTGCACCCATTTGCTTGCATGTATATGTGTGAAGGTGTCAGGACACCTGAAATTGGAGTCACAGGCAGCTATGAGTTGAACCAGGACTTGAACCCGGGTCCTCGGGAAGAACAGCCAGTACTCCCAACGGCAGAGCCATCTCTCTAGCCAACATGACTAGGTTTAGTCAACTCTTTTGAAACTTACTTTCTCTTTCTTATTTCCTTTTTAGGTTCTTTCTTCCTTTTTTTAAAATTTTTACTCTATTACTTTATTTTGTATTAATTTAATTGCTTCTGGTGTTTATTTATTTTGAGACAGGGTCTCACTTTATGGTCCTGGCTGATTTGGAACTTGTTGTATAGACCAGGCTGGCCTTGAACTCACAGAGAACCTCCTGCCTCTGCCTCCTGAGTGCTGGGATTAAAGGCGTGCGCCACCACCACCCAGCAATAATAGTACTTTGTAAGATAGAAAAGGGGGTGAATTTACTGGGGAGTCTTACGATGCAGCTCTGAGGAAGAAGGGCTGGGGCTCAGTGGTTTTTGTTTTTTCTTTTTTCCAGGATTTATCATATGTACCCTGAACTTACTACATTATACCCTCAAATAATACACATCTCCTTGTCCTGGGTTCTGATCATGGCCTCCGTACAGACAGGAGAAGGCTGTGTTTCACATTACCCTCGTTGTCCTCTCTTTTCTGTCTCAGTGCCTTAGTTCAACCTAGCCTGTTGGTAAATCAGAGCAGTTGTAACAGGTGTCTCTGTAAAACATGATGTCAGATACCGATTTTAGACATTTTCCCTGTACAAGGGGGAGGGAGTTAAGGGGCGAACCTTTCTTTCAGAGGCGACTGAGGTGAGCGTGTGCTTTGCTGTATTGACACTTGGTTACCCAGACTTGCTAATACTGAAGCATTTGTATGCTCTAAACAACCATTTTCATCTCCCCGTTGATGATTAATTTATGTTAAGTGTTTCGTATCTGCTTTTCCCTAGAGTGGATGATGAACTCCTTGCTGGACCTGGTACAGGACGAGACATCTCTGCCTGGCCTCGTGCATCTGGCTTTTAAATTTCTTTATATCATCACCAAGGTAACATTTCTGCAGCACTGTAGAGCGGACAGAAACTTTCTCATCCAGTTACCTCCTCAAGTGTTATTTCTCGGCGGACGTGGTTCTTCAACACAAGCTGGGTTTTCATTCTCTTTTCAGTATGTGTTAGGTCTTGAGTCTTAGTGATCTTGGGGTCCTTTAGTTAGAATAAGGAAAAAGCAAAAAAGCTGGATGAAAATAGAAGTGCTCAACCTCTTCCCCCCATACACACACAAAGTCTTACTACGTATCTCTGATTGTCACTGTGTAGACCAGGCTGGCCTCAAACTCACAGAGATCCCCCTGCCTCTGCCTCCCAAGTGCTGGGATTAAAGGTGTGCACCACCACCACCCAGTAATAACAGTACTTTGTAAGATAGAAAAGGGGGTGAATTTATTGGGGAGTCTTACGATGCAGCTCTGAGGAAGAAGGGCTGGGGATGACGATCTGTTTTCTCTGCAAGTTCTCCGGTGATGCCCATGTGCTGGCCCCAGACTTGGAGATGAGGGAGTGATTTGGAGTCATTTCTGTGAAGTTTGTTTGAGTCTCAGGGCACATGTTCTAGCATTCTTACTGTGTAGCAGGGCGAGGACTTTGGCTGTTGAGATAATGCTGCATGTTTTATAGAAGTGTGAGTGGGGCCATTGGAGGTGCATAGGAACTTCGTTTGCATAAACGTCAGAGATTGCTCTTGGAACAGGGTAGAAGCAGAAGTTTTTAGTTGTCACATACTTATGTCCCTGGTGCACACAGTATGATTTGTTAACCAAATTGGGATAGAACATATTTACTGAATATTAAGAAAGGAAGGAAGGAAGGGAGGGAGGGAGGGAGGGAGGGAGGAAGGAAGGAAGGAAGGAAGGAAGAAAGAAAGAAAGAAAGAAAGAAAGAAAGAAAGAAAGCAAGCTAGCTCTCTTGTCCCTTCGGTCTTGCTGAGTTGTGCCGCTGCAGTGTGACAGGATCTCCTCAGTCATTGGGGACATAGACAATGGTTTTTGATAAAAATATCAAGATAATTCTGCTGGTCTTTCTATTTTCTAATTATACACTATAGTCTATATTCTTTGTATTCTAAAGTCATTTTATTTGGCAGGTTCGTGGGCATAAAGTATTTCTACGTCTGTTTCCTCATGAAGTAGCTGATGTTCAGCCTGTGTTAGACATGTGTGCAGGTCAGAATCCTAAGGACCACGAGGTGAGTCCCACCCCAGCCCGCCCTGCTGGCTGCACTATCAGTCACAACTTTCTCTTCCAACTTTCCTTGGTTTTATCTTAGGCTGTTAAAAAAAAAATCCTTCTGCTTCTTTGACTTCTACATATGTTGCTCTAAGTTACTCTCTTTTAGACTATATCCTTTAAAAAGCAAAGAGTATACCTGTGCCAGGTCTTCAAGACCACCACAGGTCCATGGTGCCCTAGGAGGACACACATCGCAGAGTTGTGTTGTGTTTATAGCGAGGGTGGGGTTGATGGCGTGTAAGGGTAGGCAGTGAGTTGGTGGGAAGGCCAATAGGATGGTCATGGAGTGCAGCTGGATATTGTTCTCTCTTTGGGATTATTGTAGGTTCTTGTTATGTAACCCAGACTTACCGAGAACTTACTATGGCTTTGAACTTGACATCCTCATGACGCAGGCTTCTGAATGTTGGGATTACATGTGGGTGGGTGCCTTATGCCTGGCGGCTTCTCCTCTTTTTTTTTTTTTTGGAGATCAGGTCTTACTATGTGGCCCTGACTGGCCTGGAATTTCTTAGGTGAATCAGGCTGGCCCGGAACTCAGAGCAATCCACCTTCCTCGCCTTCCGAAGGCTGGGATTCAGGGTGTGCACCATCACACCCATCAGCTTTGTCTTCTGTACTGGAACCATTCTGACTGTGATTTAACTCCTTAGACATGGGAAACACGCTACATGCTTTTACTGTGGCTCTCTGTGACCTGCTTGATCCCTTTTGATTTTTCACGCCTTGATGGGAACCTCCCCGCTCAACCTGGAGAAACACGAACACCCATAATGGACCGTATTTTGCAAGTAGCAGAGGTAACTATGATCATATAGCCCTTTGGCAGTTAATTGCACACTTGTTCACACTTACGTTGTCCTGAAATGGGTTTGGTTAGATAAACCTTTGATGCGTATATTTATATTTGCTTGACTGACATTCTTGCTGTCAGTGATATCTCGGCTTACTTTGAAACTGTGGTAACTTATGTAGAGATTAGATGAATTACTTGAGTAAATCTCATTTCTTTATAGATAATACAAATATTTGCTAAGCATAATGGTGGTGTATGAGGGGTTTCAGGGGCAATGGTTAGGGAAACTTCATTTTACATTTAATTCTGACTATTGTATAAATATATAAATACTACATAATTGTAGGCAATCTGTAAAATGAAAAAAAGAATACTAAAATGAAATTTGTCAAATTCTTGCAGTCCTATTTGGTCGTCAGTGACAAGGCTCGAGATGCAGCTGCTGTCCTTGTTTCTAAGTAAGTGTTGTGGGCTGTGCAGGGCTGATGACAGAGATGAGCCTGGTACACTGTAAGCCTGCTTGTGTCTGTGCTCAGATGAAGTCTGATCCTGTTGCCCTGCCTGAGGGAGCAGGCAGCTCTGCTTGATCTTGGAAGGCCTCTGAATGAGAAGTGACCACCCTTGGTGCTGCTTTGGGCTTGTGGGGTTGACTGGCACTAGTTTGTGGCACTCATAGGGGTCACTGGTGTCAGTTTTGGGCTGGTAGGATTCCTTAATACAAGTTTGGGAATTTGAGGGGGTGGCCTGGTGCTGGTTTGGGACTCACGGGGTTACTTTATAGGCCCTTAAAGAGAAATATGCTTAGCGCAGCTGGGGTTCCTTTCTGTAGTGTGGCACCCCCTGAGGTGGTAGCAGTTGTGAGTGTTGGAGCCATCTCAGAAGCAGTTTATGCTGGGGTTTGTAGAGATCATGGGAACACACAGGTATGGTTTGGGAATGAAGTCCTCAGAAAGGGTTATATTGTAGTTCACTGGGTAAAATCCTGGGTTCTGACGAAACAAACAAACCATTGCAAATGTCCTGTGTAGCCAGAATGCAAGTAGGAGGTGGTCTCTGCGCTAAGGTGGTCAGCACAGCCTGCTTGGGTTGTCTCAGACATACAAGCCAGGGATACCTGTAAAGGCTGAATGAACCTGTGCTGGGAAATCCGGGAATGTTAGGATTCTTTAAAAACATCTTATTCTTGAAGCTGGTGCGAGGGCTCAGTGGTTAAGAGCCCTGACTGTTCTTCCAGAGGATTCAGGTACCTATATGGTGGTTCACAATTGTGTGGTAACTCCAGTTCCAGAGGATCCGATGCCCTCACTCAGACGTACATGCAGGCAGTTGGCAACCTTGGATGCCATGTTAGAAAGCATGACCCAGTAATTGAGCTACGGGTCCCGAGAAGGCAAGAGAGGGGAGGAACACTTTAGTTTCCTGGGATTGGCAAGGCCTCTTTGGTTTTTTAAGACAGGATTTCTCTGGTGCTTTGGAGCCTGTCCTGGAACCCACTCTGCAGACCAGACTGGTCTCAAATTCACAGAGATCACCTGCCTCTGCCTCCCCAGTGCTGGCATTAAAGGTGTGTGTGATCACCACCCAGCTTTTTTTTGGGGGGGGGGGGACAGTCTCACTGTGTAGCTCTGGCTGTCCTGGAACTCACTGTGTGCCTCTATGCCCAGCTAAGGTCTCTTTCTTAGGGACCCCTCTCCCAAGGGCTACTCCCTCCTCTGTCAAGGTCTGAAAAGATGACAACTTTCTAATGTTAGAAGTGTTACCGTTCACTGCTGCAGAACAGTACCTGAGAAAAGCCACAGGAGGAAAGGCTTGTTTAGGCTCCCAGTTTGGTAGGTCTGTGGTCCATGGTAAGTCCATCTCAGTCATTACCTCTGTGAAAAAGACACTGGGCTGTGCTGTGTCGGATCATAGCAGAGAGGATGGAACAGAGTTGCTGACCTCATGGTATCTGGGTAGTAGAGACGGATGGACATACAGACAGACTGCCAGGGACAAAATACAACCCTCTCAGAGAATATCCTAAGTGATGTATTTCCTCCAGCTAGGCCAGCATGTACTATCAATAATGCTATCAATTATGAACCCATTAATGAATTAGTCTCTCCTAAGTTTTGAGCCCTCATGATCCAGACAATCACTTCTGAGAAACCCCGTCAGCCAGCAAGCAGCTTTGATCACATAGTCTCTCAGGATAGTTCAGATTCAAACTGTAACAAAAGGAACCCATACATTTTGAAGACTGTATGAAGACTGTAATCTGTATCTCCTTTCTTACTCTGGGAGGTGTAGCCGCTTGTGTTCTGGTGCATATCTGGTGACCACATGTTCTGTTTGGCTGAATTGCTGTACCCCTGAATGCCTCTGGAACTCTTATCTTTTTCTGACATGGATATAACTGTGGCTGGAGAGATGGCTCAGAGGTTAAGAGCACTGCCTGCTCTTCCAGAGGTCCTGAGTTCAATTCCCAACAACCACATGGTGGCTCACAACCATCTGTAATGAGGTCTGGTGTCCTCTTGAGGAAGAGACCTGGTCAGTCATCCTCATCAACTTAGACCATGAAACCCAATATGGACGAGTTCAACAGAACCGCCATGTAAGGGCATGCTTCAGCATTGCCAGGGCATAAATTTTGTTCATTTTTCAAATTTCTTGTTATTGCTGGACATGTAGATGGCCTTTTTCCTATTTGGTTAACATGGCCATTCCTGAATCTTCTACATAAAACTATTCTGATTGATTTCTTGGAATGAATTCCTGTAAGTGGGGTGAATTTTTTTAGGGGTTTAAAATACAGTCACTGCAAAGGTTAAATAAATTGAAGGCTCCCTTTTTCGTATTTGCCAGCTTAGTGGGACTTTGCAAATGTTAACTTTGTTGAATGAAAACTATTATCTTTAAAAATTAAAAAATACATTTATTAAAAATGCTACATTTAATTATTTACTGCATGTGTCTGTGCATATGCGTGTGTGTGGACTTTTACCTACTGAGCCATTTCACCAGCCTTATTGTCTACCCTGTATCTGCTGTGTATTTTTAGTACTACTAGTGGTGGTGGTACTTTAGTGCCACGCTTTACTCCATGAAGTATCTGCGGGCCACAGAACGTAAAACTCAACACCTTATGTTCACTTCTTGGGACCCTACAGGAAGAGTCGCAGCCTGGAGCACCAGAACCTCGGTGCCGTTTAGTGCTGCTGTGAACTGAATGACTGTTTCATTTGGGGAGGCTGTATCCACCTTGGAGAGCCTGAGGTCCCGTGAGACCAGGGTCACTGGGAATGGCCCCGGAGGTGCCCAGTGAATTTGTTTACTTGGCTCTGAGTCACCTTTTCGGTGGGGCGCAGAGTGGGCCTGTGCACAGTGACGTGCTGTTGTCTGGCCCTGCTACACTAACTCTTCTTTGCCTGCGGCTCTGGAACCACACCTGCTTCCTGTAGTAGCTGAACTTTTAAGGCGGAACTTCCTGTAACCGTTTGTTTTCAAGCTTCTGAGACAGAATTCCACTATCAGCCAAGGCTGGCCTGTGGTTCACGTGAGGTCCAGGTTGGTCTCAGATGTGCTGTCTTACAAATGTGAGCTACCATGTGGAACTTTTCCTATAACTTTTTGTTTTTCTTAATTATAAGTTTATTTTTACTTTTATTAAAAAAGTGTTATTTGGAATCTTCATATGTGAACACAATGCGTTTATTTAGATGCTATCTAGATACTGTGTCCTCATTCCCACCTCCAGCTTCTCTGGGAGACACCCTCCTGTCCAACCAGTTCCCTTCTCAGCTTCATGTCTTTTGTTGTTGTTGTTCTATTTAGAAGGCAGTTTGTTTTCTGTGTCCTTTGGCAAGATAATACTAATAGGGCCTATGATCTCCCCAGCCATGGGTTATTGCCTAGGTGTTTAGTACCAGACAAGAGTTCCTTCTTGTGGATGGGCCTTAAATTAATTTAGAAAGCTGTTGGTTATGACTGTAATATTCATGCCACTGCTGTACCAATGGATCTGTTTTGCCAGGCCAATATTACTGTAGCTTACAGTCACATCTGTTGTTGGCTCTTCTCCCTTAGTAGCTGTAAAACACCTTTTGGCACCAGGAAAGCTAGCCAGCAAGGAGGAAGCTTCCAGGTCAGAACAGCTTGATTTCTCTGTGTCCCGTGATTAAAGTCTGTGTCTTTAGCAATCAGGTCCAGCTATCAAGTTCTGGTGAGAAAGAACACCTGCCAAAGTTAAGGAAGCCAGGCACGGTGACTCCTGATTTAATCCTTTGTGAGTTCAAGGTCAGCCTGGTTGGTACAGAGATTTCTAGGCTAACTAGAGCTACACTGTTAAACTCCGTCTTAAAAAAACAAAACAAAACAAGAACAAAAAATGAGAGACAAGGAAGATAATAGAGCTTTACTCTTTAAAAATTTTTTTCATAAATTATACATACAATATATATGGGTATTTTGCCTGCACATATGTCTGTGTACCATGTGCACACAGAGCCCTTGGAGGCCAGAAGAGAACGCTGGATCCTCTGGGACTGGATAACTTACGGTTGTTAGCCACCATGTGGCTGCTGGAAATCGAATCCAGGACATCTGGAAGAAAGTCCAGCATTCTATTTCTTTTTATTTAAGGTTTGGGATGCATACAGTGTTCCTGCATACATTCCTGCCAGAAGAGGGCACCAGATCTCATTTTGTGAACCATCAGATGGTTGTTGGGAATTGAACTCAGGACCCCGAAGAGCAGTCAGTGCTCTTAACCTCTGAGCCATCTCTCCAGCCCCAGCCAGAGCTCTTAGTCACCGAGCCAAGTCTTCAGCTCCCAGATTTACTCTTGATGGCATCAGTCTGAAAAAGTAGCTCCTGTTTCCTGTTTATATATGCAAGGACTACTGGACATGATGTCCGTACTGGAGAGGGTGACACAGGACAATCTCGTGCACTTTGAAGGCCATCTTACGCTACATAATGATACTCTCTCTAAAGAAAAAAAGTGCCAAAGAAAAAGATAAAGCAAGGCATATTTCATGAAGAAGGAAATTTGGAACAGAAGTATTAGAAAAATCCTACAGATGAATTCTAGTGACACATATGGTATTTTTGTCTTTTTCAGTGCTGTTATTATTATCATTGTCATTATTATTATTATTAGGTTTTTCGAGACAGTTTTCTGTGTAACAACTCTGACTATCCTGGAATCGGTTTATAGGCCAGGCTGGCCTGGAACTCCCAGAGATCCGCCTGCCTCTGCCTCCCGAGTGCTGGGATTAAAGGTGTGCACCAACACTGCCGGGCTTTCAGTGCTGTTATTAAGTTGAACAAATGTAGCACAGTCTCACAAGGTAGCACCGTACTTTTCTATTTTTTATTTTTAACCACTGGCTGACTGGTGTATGCCGTGTGTCAGGCCTGTGATTGCCTCTGTCATCTCTAATTATGAAAATATGACGAAAGCCTGTTTTGGTATCTGGGTTGCTTTCTGTGGATAGACCCTAAGGGGTGCAAATCTTGGGCCTCTCTTGGGCCCTGGGTGTGCCAGACGGCCTGGAGAATACCTGCTTTGGGCTGGACTGAGTGTGTCTTGTTCATTTTTATTTATTTATTTATTTGTTTGTTTGTTTATCTGAAGCTGAGGACCGAACCCAGGGCCTTGCCTTGCTAGGCAAGCGCTCTACCACTGAGCTAAATCCCCAACCCCCTGTCTTGTTCATTTAAAACATGTAGTTGGTGTCTGTATTGGTTGCACTGCTGCGACTGTAGCCTCACCGCGAGCGAGACACTGAGTAGCTCCGTTCGCTGTGGTGGGAAGTGGCTTATGTGCAGTGCACCAGGAAACAGAGAGTGTCCTGAACTAGAGTCCAGATGGTAACTTTTTTTTTTTTCCAAGACAGGGTTTCTCTGTAGCTTTTGGAGCCTGTGCTGGCCAGAGCTGACAGAGGCCTTTTTTGGTATTTTGTGTTTCCTTACTTTTGTTAAAACTCCTTTTCCCTGCCAAGTGGTGTCTGCAGCAGACAGGAAACAAACACAGAGACCCATAGCCAGGCATTCTGCAGAGGTAGAAACCTCAGAACACTCCATCAAATCAATCACATCAGAAGCAAGGGGATGTGGAAAACTGTAATATCTAGAGGATATTAATTGCAGCACTCAGGAGGCAGAGGCAGGCAGATCTCTGTGAGTTCAAGGCCAGCCTGGTCTACAAGAGCTAGTTCCAGGATCGAAAGACAGAGAGGAAAAGGGAAAAGTTACACCTTTCTGAGTCAGGATCCAGAGAAGCAGCCGACCCAATGGAACCCTGTGGCAGCTTGTAGGCCCTGCATTAGGAAGTGGGAATTCTGGGAAGGAAAGTGCGTTCTGTCTCACTGAAGGATTAATTACTCCTCCCGTCTCCTAAGCATGACCTGCGTAAACCACTTTCCTCTTTCCTTCGGTCCCTGGTCGTTACACTTAATCTCCTCTTAGCTCTATTTCCCCTGATACAGAGCTTTCCCACCTTTCTTGTCAGCTCTCCTTGGCAAGTATCGAGGTTTGTCTGTGAGCCTGTGAGCCTGTTCCCCCTCTGCAGTTTGTCTTCCGGTTTCTTTCTTTGGGGTTACACCTCTGGTCTGCCTTCTCTCTTGGCATCAGCTCTGAGAGGGCAGAACCTTGCTTGTTTTTTTCATTATCAGACCCGTTTAGAGTCACAGAACCAGAGGTCTGGGCTCACATTGTCAGCTGGACGTTGGGTGGAAGGAAACAGGCATGCGTAGCATGAGGTGGAAGTTGGGTGACCCATAAAGGTTGTGGTAGAGAGGTCCTTGGGTTAGATTGGTGGTCGGACGAGGTTTTGGAGGATGTATCTTGAGGTTAAGGGATACACTTGGAAGGAGACGGAGCTGAGAAGTAGGAAGATGTTCCCTGCCACAGTGGGGATAAAGGTGTCCATTGATTTGTGAAGCTGCTGGATGAGTTGGCCCAGGAGGGAAGGCGGGAAGGTGGTGAGGCCTGTGAGTAACTTCGTGAGAGAGCCTGGTGGGAAACCAGCTGCTGGGCCATGATGGTCAGGGCCTTGGTTCGCTAGAGAGAGCACCATGTATGTAGGCAGCTGCTTAGGGGTACAAGGTGACTGGGAGGAAAAGTATGTGGTGGTTGCTGGGATGTGGCTGAGTTCAGCACTGGAGTCCTGTTGAGCTCCTCCTGTGTTTGTGTTCCTCTGCAGGTTTATCGTACGTCCTGATGTCAAGCAGAGAAAGATGGCCAGCTTTCTGGACTGGAGCCTGTGTACCTTGGCCCACTCCTCCTTCCAGACCATCGAGGGGGTCATTGTCATGGACGGGATGCTGCAGGCCCTGGTAAGCACCAGGGACAGCTTGTGGATCTGTGGGACTGTGTTTCCAAACTGATGGTTCATCCCCAAACTGTTGGCTCCAGTGACTCTAGGTTCCAGCGACTGGAGCATGGTGGGGTTTGTTTGCATCACAGAAGTGTGGTTCCATCTTTTGCTGCGGTGTGTTTAGTGTTTGAGGCTGACCAGGAGTGGAGGCTAACAGGAGAAAGCCGATGAAGTGCGCATCACCACTAGGGGGCAGTGGTGTCTGTAGAACTGCAGCCGTGTCCTTGTGGGTTTTGCTTAGTTTCGTTGACTAAGGCAGTCAGTGACGCCAGCCCTTGTGAACGAGGCAGAAGGCTTGAAATCTGATCCTTTTTGAATTAGTGGGTTAATCCGAGGTTTCTAGTATCTGAGTTTAAATACAGAGTCTGGGACCTGTCTCGAGAAGCCCGTTGTGCCTGACCTACTATTGCTGGTCTTCTCTGTATGGCTTTTTAGTACTGACAAGAAGAACGCTCTAGTGTGAAATCCTGTGAACAAGGCTAGGAAGCTCCTGCACCAGTACTCAGGAGGTCACAGACGGACTTCTAAGACTTTGTTTGGTTTTGATGCTCAGTGTTCAGAAGGTCATAGTGCCTCTAATGCTGTTACTAGGGTCAGTGTTTACGAGGTCACAGCGGCTTTCTGAGGCCCCGGTTTTGAGAGTCAGCATTCAGGAGGAGGGCATGGATTGCCCTGAGGGTGGCAGATGATCTGGACTGTAGCTCCAGGGCCAGACCTGTCTTCTTGACTTCCTTTGACTACATAGGGTGAGATTTGAGAGTAGTTCTTGTCCTTGTGTTTGAGGCAGAGGAAACAGGAACCTTTGGGGAAGTTTGAAGGCAACCAGCCATACTGGCATCTTGGGTTTGGCTGTCTGCACACCTTTACACAGGTCCTGAGGCAGGGTGGGAGGTGCTAGGGCCAGGTGCTTGAAACCCTAGGAAGGGGACGTGGACCTGGGGACAGGAAGATGAGTAGAGACTCTCAGGACCCCCTGCATCTTCCTCTGTAGCTGTGTGTCATCCTGGCTGTGGGAGCGAGAAATGCTTGATCTCCTCATTTCCAGCTGTATTGCTGCTGCTTCAGAGGGCTGCCCTTCAAAACACGTAGGAAGGAAACCTGGGAAAACGAGATGTTTATGTCCTGTGCAAATCGAGACGTGATTTGCTTGCTATGAGGACTGGCTCTTCCTTCGTTTTGTTTGTCCACAGAGTTGTGCAGTAACCGCTGTCCCCACTGTCTCTCTTCAGTCTGTCACTCCACACACCACACCACTCCATGGCACCCGTGGTCCCTGACCTGCATGTCTGTGGAGGTGGCTTTTAGTTTACATGTTTAGACTCATGTAGGGTAGGCTTCTTTCACTGAGCACAGTGTCCATAGGTCTGTCTGTCCGTGGTGTGTGTTAGTCCTCCACTCCTTCACTCCTTTCTTGTGGTCAGACAATGTTTCATTATGTGGTTGGTTGTGATTAGTGCTACAGGGAACATAAGAGTTTTCTTTCTGTTTGTGTGTGTGTGTGCGTGTTTAAATTTATGTTTACAATTCTCTTGGGTATGTAGCAGTAATTTTTTCTAATGCGTGTGATAATAGATATTAACTCAGCAGATAGTGTTTCAGCTCGCAGTGTTTTTTTTTCTCTCTCTCTGATAGTGCTGGGTTGTCAGACTAAGACCTTTAAACATGCTAGGCAAGCACTGAACCATCTAGGTTTTCCCAGTCCCTAATAGTTTTTTTTTTTTAGATCATATTTTGTCCTTGAAGTATTTTTTAAAAATTATGGTTGTGGGGCTCAAGAGATGGCTCACTTGCTGCCTTTCCAGGTGGACCTGGTTCAGTGTCCAGTACCCATGTTGGGAGGTGCACAACTCCCTGTAACTAGTTCCCGGAGATCTGATGCCATCTTTTGGCTTCTGTGAGCACTTATACACATGTGCACACACACATAGATCACACACATATACCCATAATTAGAAGTAAAATAAATCTTGAGAAAAATTATGGTTGCCTTCACATGTCAGTTATAGTGTGTACGTACATGCACACATGTGTATTTCTTTTACTATATATATACATATATATTGTGTGTGTGTGTGTAAAAGTTATGGTTGTCTCTTTTGTCATATTAGTGAACTCTGAGGTTCTACCTGTGGCAGATATCTTTGGGATTTGCGAGTACAGATGGATAGCCCATACCTTGGAAGGCTTTGCTCTAGCTGTATGGAGAGGGTTTATTGTGATTTTCATTTTGATTGCAGTAGCGGTTGGTACAAGCAGTGACCTACCCTGAAGGGTAGCGTGAGGAGCGGGGGGGGGGGTGTGTGTGTGTGTGTGTGAAGGATGCGGAGGTCACAGCTGTGTGCCCCCATGATTGATTTATAAATCACGGTTGGTAGTGTGCATTTGTGTCTTAGGTAACTGGTGACGAGGTAGACAGAAATGGTTAATTTGAACGATTTGGATGTAAATAGATTCTTGATATTTTGGCATTAATATTTAAAAACATTTTATTCCTACTTCTGTTTGCTGTGTGTGTGCACAGCATGCGCCACGGTGTGTTTGTGGTGATTCAAGTGCTTTTAATTGTTGAGCTCTCTTTCGAGCCCAACAGCAACAACAGTAATAATAATGATAAAAGATTCCAGAATAACTGTTCGTTATGTCCACCATGTGCTTCCTGGGTTTGAACTCAGTCTTCAGGTTTGATGACCAATTGAGCCATCTCTCTGCTTCCCTGCCCTGCCTGCTGTCATCGTGGTCCCTGTCGTGTATCCATCCCTGTGTCGCCCCCCCCCCCCACCCAGTTTTAACTTCTTTTTGTTTTTGGAAACAAGGTTTCTCTGTGTAGCCCTGGTTGTCCTGGAACTTCCTCTGTAGACCAGGCTGCCCTCAAACTCAGAGATCCACCTGCCTCTGCTTCCTGAGCGATGAGATTAAAGGTATGTACCACCATGCCTGGCTCCCTATGCTTTTTAAAAATGAGGCACGTTTTACTATGTCGCCCCGGTTTGCCTGGAATTTGTAGACCAGGCTGGCTTTGAACTTGTGATACTCCTTCCTCTTCCTCCTGAGTGCTAGGATTCCAGGTGTATGTCAACACCTCTGGCTTGGCATGAGTCTTGTTGAAAAGTTTTAGATCAAGAGAATACAGGAAGGTCTGACAATGTAGCTAGAGTCTGACCTGTCTAGCATGTGTATGTGGCGCACAGGAGGGCAGACATGATTAATCTCAGGGGATTGATTTTAGACTGGCTTTGTTCAGCTCTCTGCATTCTTTCTGGGGTTAGGTGAGAAAGATCTTGCTTTACAGCTCAGGTTAGCTTCAGTCTTGTAAATACAAGGGTTATGTGTACGTATCACTACACCTAGCCAGCACTCTGCATTTCTGAAGGGCTTTGGGATCTATAGCTGACTACTTGCCAGCCTGGCTCAGGAGTTTCTCTGATCTGCCCATGGCAATAGAGATGCAGCTGGCGGGGTAAGTAGGGGCTGTAAGACTCCAACGGGAGGTGGGATAACCTGCTGGGCTCTAACCGAAGGTTCGCTGGAGGTCCTGCCAGAGTGATCACCTGTTTCTTGTCTCTGTGTGGCTCCCAAGTTTTCTTTTTTTTTTTTTTTTAAAGATTTATTTTTTTTTATGTATACAACTTTCTGCCTCCACCCGCCAGAGGAGGGCACCAGATCTCTTTACAGATGGTTTTGGAGCCACCATGTGGTTGCTGGGAATTGAACTCAGGACCTCTGGAAGAGCAGACAGTGCTCTTAACCACTGAGCCATCTCGCCAAGTTTTCTGTTTCTCCTTTCTTATTTGGGACGTGCATCGAGCATTAGATTGCGCTCAGATACTGGAGGCCCAGTTGCTGTTCATTCCTTGCCAGTTATGCCAGTGGGTTGAGATTCCTTTTAGTGACTTAAGCCAGTTAGACGTGTGTGCCTTTTATTCGAACATCTTCAAATTCCAGTGTTGAGGGAGAGAAATTCTCTCTTTCCTTCCTCCCAAGGTGTAAAAAGGGTTCCCAGAGGCTTAGAAAAGTTGTCTCCTGCTCCCCCACCCCCAGCTGGGTGTGTTGGCAGGGAGGGGAAGATGAGACCCAAATCTCTGCTGTTGGGGCAGGGTGCCGTGGTGGTTTGGCATCCGCACCTCTGCTCTATCTAGAGAGATTTGCCCTGAGGATGGTGAGCAATTGTCTGACGCAGACACCTGAAATCCCGGGAAGTGGACGAATGAAACCGTGGATCAGCAGCCATGGTGGTCTCTCGCCTTGGGCTCGCAGTGCCTGACTCGGCCTCCCAGAAGCCCAAAGTCCTGCTCCTTGGGGCAGCGGCATCTCCCCGGTCTCCCACTCAGCTTTCTTTTCTCATTTGGAGGGTCACTTGGGTCTGGTCTGGCTCCAGGGCAGGAGGAAGTTACACTTAGTGGGTGGAGCAGTTTCACCATGGGCTTGTCAGACCTGAAGGCAGAGGGCTGGGTGTCCTGTGCATGATGAAACTTGCAGGTGTATTGTGCTTCAGGATTGCATGTTTCCTTTGATGCACTTGGCTTCGTTTTTATCCACCTGTTCATTAGTGTGGGTTAGGCGAAACAGGTGAACCCTGAACAAGTCACATCGAAACTAGGATTGATTTTATTTCCCTCGAAGCATAGCCCTCTTGCCGCGTCGATTCTTAACTCCTGTAGGACCGAAACAAGAGCGACTTCACTTCTCTGGAGGGCCCCTTTACTCTGGAGTATTTATAATATAAGTACTTATAAGAACATTTGAGAATGGAAAGCATAATTTAAATAAAATTAAAAATGTATTTGTGGGTTTCCCTCAGATTCGGAGTTTCTAACTGCTGTGGCTTCTCTGCTTTTCCTGCGGTGGCCATGATAGTGTAGGAACTTCTGCTCCCAAACACAGGCTGCTGGCAGGAAACGTCCTGCCTGTGTTGATTGGTGGCAGGAGATGCTCTTTTGTTTACCATCTGTTAGTACTGTA